TGGTGACCACATGCATCTTAACACTCTGAGCTCTTGATTGTTTGTGTGATTATAAGCAATCAGAGGTACTTGGATGTTAGCCAGACACTGTGGTTATATTTGGCTTCAAGATGTTGATTTACAGGGTGTCTCATAACTGAGATGGATTTCACCAAACGCTTTGTTGACAAAACAAACTTTTGACAATAGACTTATTTAATTACTTATTTAATTTTTTTTTTTTACTTATTTAAATTTTTATAAATTATTACAAAAATCTTAAAATAATAATCTTTTTGAATTATTACTGCATGTTGTTTGTAACCTACCTGTTTGTAGGTATTTAGGCCTACAATAGAACTAGTTCACTGGTATTTATCACAAAATACATTTTGGGTGTGTGCTAGCCTAGCGATTAGCACCTAGGACTTTGGTGTGAGAGTAACGGATTTGAACCTTCATACGAAAATTTGGGATTTGGACTGATTTTCCAAAAAAAGGTTATATTCTAAGTAGGATCTTCTGTTAAATCAAAAGTTTTGATCTACTTATAAATCTAGATTTTAATGGTTTTTTATATAATTTTGATTTATTCGTTCTCCAACTGAATATTTTTTATATTCTCTCTAACTTTCAAGATTTTTCTAATAGAACTCATTTGACTTGGAGGGAAAAATAAACCTTCGGAAGATTGAAATTTTCCTCAAGATGCAGATTCATAGCTTTTGGAAAGTTTGTTATGCTACCTCAATCTCTATATCAAGCACAAGTTAGGCACAGATGATTTTTTTCCTACAAGAGTTTATATTTCTCCTATTCTTCATAATATACCACTTGCACATAAATACTGCTTATTCTTTATACCATAATCTTATAAATCTTATAAATCTTTATTGGTCATTAAATAACATATGTTACAATAGACCTCGTTAACAAAAAAAGGGCCATAGATTCTAGTAACATGGTCTATAACATGGAATCTTCACTAAACTTAAATATAACAAAGACAACAAGAAAATAAAGCTAAAATCATTTGAAAAACACAGAACTATATATATGAAACAAAAGTGAGGTACTTAAACAAGTGTTTGAAAGACTAGGTAACAGTTGACTAGGGACTAAGTAAGAACTAGATAACAATTTTACCATTACAATTGTATTCTGCAAAAAATTCATCTAAACTGTAAAAAGGGTGGTCAGCAAGCCAAACCATCAACTTTTGTTTTAGCCGAGTACAAGGAATGTCAAGTATTTCACTTGCAAAACAATTTACTATTTTTACTGATATACTAGCAAAACTTTGCTGTACTGTTGTTAGTCTGGTGTAGGGCCTATCCAAAGCAGATCTTCCCCTTGTGTAATATGAGTGAAAATTATTTCTTGAGCTAAAGAAATGTGAATTTTGTTTTACAAAAATAACACACTCTAATATATACAAATTTACAGTTGTTAGGACACCTGTTGCTTTAAAAAGAGGTTTACAATGGTCCCTCAACCCTGAATTGGTCAACAGTCTTACAGCCTTTTTTTGAAGCTTTAAAATTATTAGAATGTGGGTGGAGTTACCCCACAGTAACAGACCATACTTTAACAGACTTTGAAAAAAAGCAAAATACGCAGATCTAACATACAAAGGAGGAACAAAATCTCTTAGACGTCTAATTAAAAATAAAACTCTTGACAATTTCTTACTTAAGTTATATAAATGGGTTGACCAGCTTAAATCACTATCCAAATCTATGCCTAATAAATTTACACTTGACGAAAAATTCTTTTCTTCCTCAGGTGTGCGACCTAACCTAAAAACAATAGTTTGAGTCTTTTCAGGATTCATAAAAAACCCATTGACACTGAACCAGTTCTTAGCTTCATTGAGGGAAAGTTTGGACGGCACCATGAGTTCACTAAAGGTACCTTGACTATTTAAGAAAGTGGAGTCATCCGCATAAATCACAGAAGTACAGGACATACATTTATCCAAATCATTAATCATTATAAGGAAAAGAACAGGGCCTAACACCGAGCCCTGGGGCACTCCGCAAAAAACCTCACTCTCATCTGACAATATACCCGCAACATCAACCTGCTGCCTGCGGTCTGATAAGTAAGACTTAAAAAGATTGAGTTCTGTGCCACGGATACCGTAGTACTCAAGTTTATTCAAAAGTAAACCATGGGGAACACAATCAAACGCTTTACTCAGGTCAACTAGAGTTGCCTGGGTAAGAGAGGCGTTTTCATAAGAATTTAGCACATGCTGCACCAAGCGCCTTACCGCATCCGTGGCACATCTACCCGTTCGAAACCCAAATTGCCAATCAGATATTAGGCCATGGTATTCAAAAAATTTCATTAATTGTGATTTTATTATGGTTTCGAACACTTTGCCAATCACAGGAACTAACGAAATGGGCCGGTAACTACTAGGATTCTCCCTCGGACCCTTTTTATAAATTGGAACAACTTTTGAAAACTTCAGTTTTTTGGGGAAAAAGCCAGAGAGCAAGCAGCAGTTAATACTTGCAGTGAGTGGCAACAAGATATACACTATAATAAGCTTTAGAAGGTTAGAGGACATACCATATGCATCTGTGCTGAAAGAGGATTTCCCTATGCACAACACTATATACTTCCTCACAAGACACTGCACTGAACTTGAAGGATGATGGAGAAGCTGGTGTATTCTCAAGTAGTGAAGTGGATGCAGCAATCGAAGGTGTCACCAGTGCCGCTGTCTGCTCCACAGATGACACGAAGAAATCACTGAAGTCTTGTGGAGATATGTATCGTAGGGGGTTGGTGTTTGGCTTCTCCATATTACCACGGATGATGGACCAGGCAGCTTTGCATTTGTTGGTTGCAGATTCGATTTCTATTACATTGGCATTGAGCTTGGCTGTTGCAAGAGATTTTTTATAAGTCCTTTTTAGGGTCACATAGGTTTCCCTATCAATCTGTGAGTCAGATGTTTTATAGGCATCAAAAGCTGTTAGGACTAAGTCACGCTGGACTTGAAGCTCTGCTGTAAACCAACGATTTTTTCGTCTAGGTTTTTTACTCTGATAATTTGGTAAGATTTTCTTGAGAGGGAAACAATCATTGATAGTTGATTGGAGCTGATCAAACAGGATGGTGAAAAGATTGTTGCTGATCCCATGAATAAAATCCCATGAATAAAATAAAAATCAAATGATAATTCCCTTCTAGTTCGGACTTCCAAACATCTTTTTTAAAATTAAAATCCAACTAGGGGTTCCCAAATACTAACCAGCATATCCAGCCAACCAGGATACCATTACTGTGAATTCCATCAGGAACCAGGAAATTTGGAATAACCACCAATAGCCTAAGACCGAACGTCCATTCAGTAACCGGATTCCGTTGGTTCTCTTTTCTTAAGGTCATCAAATTGAAGAATACTTTAGCAGGAAAGATCACGATGTTGCCGTGATCACAGTTTTGTCATGATCGTGGGAGCATCCAGTATATGGTAATTTACAAACATAAAAATACATTTTCCTACAGTCACCCGACAAAGTTGGCTTCCCTGTACTGTTTATAGTACAGAAAGCTGCTAATTGCTGCATATTTATACTTTGCCGTACGGTTTATACTTTGCCGCACATCAGGATTCCAACCAAACAACACAAAACAGCGTGGTTTTATTATGCACGTAATCCGTGTACGCTTGGAAATAGGTTGGCAACACTTAAAGATAATAATTCTATGAGCAGCTGATTGACTATTATAACTACGATTTAACCTGTCATTTTGTGTTTATAGTTTCGGTATTTCTGAACTTTCTGGATTTTTCTTTTAAACGTTTTTTAAACATTCCTACGATCTTAATAAACAAGAAAATACCTTTAAAGCATTTTTTTAGGCGTGGAAACCACTTCAAATTACAAAAAACATACGGAACTATATTCTCAAAACGCGGAGCACATTTCTTGCCGAGGAATAGCGGAGTGATACGGACCGCGGGTACTACTTTCTCTAGGGCACCATTTGTGTTGCCAGCTGAACCTAAAAACGTGTTGTATAGTGTTTGAAAGACTAATTATTTATATGCTTTATAGTGACTGTAGGAAAAATATAATGTGTAACACGAGTGAAAAAGGCCTTTGCTGCACTCGAGATCATTCCGACATTAACATTGCGTTAACATTGCTCTCGTGTGCAGCAAAGTGCCACTTTCACCACTAGTTACACAAATAACTATTCCCTACAGTCACCTGACAAAGTGGCCTTCCTTGCACTGATTATAGCACAGAAAGTTGCTAATTGCTGCATCTACTTACTTTTGCCGCACACCAGTATTCCAACCAAACAACACAAAACGGTGTGCTTTAATTAGGCACGTAATACTTGTATGCGCTTGAAAATAAGTTGGTAAAACTTAAAGATATTATGACTACAATCAGCTGATGCAGTGTTCCCCATTTCGTTCAATGTTTGGATTTAACCTAAAAACATGTTTTAGAGTGTTTGAAAGACTAACTATTTGTATGCTTTATAGTAACTGTAGGAAAAATATAATGTTTAACGCGAGTGCAAACTGCCTTTGCTGCACTCGAGAAACTTTCCACACTCGGCTAGGGTTCGTGAGTAAACATTACTCTTGTGTGCAGAAAAGTACCACTTTGCCCACTAGTTACACAAATTTCTTTAACTATGCACTCAGTTTTACTGCATTTTTGGCTAATCTGGACAAGAACTCTGATGTACTTTGAATCTACATCCTACACATTTATGAAAGTAATAGCATTGTAGTTGTTTTAAACATTTGACATCTGCAAATCAAAGTACTGTAGATATTGAACTATCTTGAGCTTGATCCCAGTTAAGATGTAATTTTTCTTTAACCCTTTGAGGTGGAATTTTTTTCATTTTTCGCCGAGTATAGGTTGCCATTCGAGCAGTCGGGAAAATGACGCTCGGCGACCTATACTCGCCATTCGACCACAAAGGATTAACAAGGAATGGATAGGTGTAGTGATTATAACTTTTGAGTTTTGAAATACAAAAATATTTAATTTTACAGTGACCACTGCAAAGACAATATGTACAACGATTAAGGTAAACATAATAACCTATAAATAAATACTACATAACCTAAAGTAGGTGAAAAATTACAGACACTAACTGGACAATATTTACAAAACTTTATATAAAAACTAACATTGGTTTGTAAAAATATGACAGTAGGTTTTAGTGTGTCGATATTGATTATATGCTGAGATTTAATAGCATATTTTAACTTTTACATCATCTATTGAGGTATATAATGAGATGCCTTGTTAACATTTTTTCAAACATTTCGTTGGAGATGTTTTGACTCGAGGAAATATAGATGTTTTAAAAGAATGAATACTATTTGTTTTGGCTAATTTTTCTTAACTTAAAATACCCTTTAATGCACCACCACATATTATAAATATACATTTCCTTATTAAGGACATTTGAAAACTATACATGAGCTAAACCAATCAACTCATTTTAACAATTTACTTACTCAATTGACATTTAGATCCATGAATGTTATATGTAAACTGTCACTTTTGATTTTGAAGTGTTATTTATTCTATGTTTTTATATTGTAACCAAATAATAAAAATCCAAAATGGGAACTTACGTATAGAACAACTAACTTTTAATAAAATCATTTTTTAAATGAAAAATAACATTTGTTTACAGAAAACATCAAATACTAAATGGATAAATGAATATTCACAGACAATTTAATTACACTTGCAGTAGTGAATCCAAAAAAGCAATATTACATTTAAAAAATAAAATTACTGATGTAAAAATAAAACTTGATACAGCCTAAAAAACCCTAAACAAAAATATTTTTGACTTTTTTACAAAATTCTATAACTACTGAAGACAAATTTTGTTACTTATACGGACTAATCACAAAATGCCCAGTCTAAACTTGCCTTATAATGTACCTAACTATTTTGCTTGATAAGTGGCACCATTCTTGCCTTAACTTCTCCTAAAATTTGATAAAATAAGTAAAATAAAAACATGATTATTATTTTTTTTGCAACACTACACAGTAAGAAGCTTGTCCCTACGTAGTTTCTATAGTAGGCTCTAAATGAAGCTATACAATAAATACTAGACAGGTTTTTGACAAGTACATTGCATTTTCACAATAAATATTAGAAGTAGTGAACTGAATTTCAAATTTCAAAACCATCAAAACTTTGGAAAAGTTTCGGTTTTGAGATTTGATCACCGAGTTTCGAGATTGAAAAGTTTCAAAATTGAAGATTTATGGAAGTTTTATTTTTGAAAATGCTGACATTTTTGTGTCAATATTATTGTTTTTAATACTGTTTCCACTCAAGCTGGCAGCAATAGAGCAACCATATCGCCATTATTAACAGTAATGAAACAAGTAAATTGTATTATGAACTTCAAAAGGCATCATACTATAACTGAAATGACGTACAATTCAGTTTTATATCAATATTTACTTAACACGAAGAAATATTGACCAGTAAACGTACTAATTAATCTAATATTCATGTTTGTGTTGGTGTTAGGAGTTTAATTTATTTTACCTAACCCGCCACGTTCAACTTCCCTATCCCAAGTGAGATATATACAACTTCTTTACTTCTCGAGTGATGTAAAGTTGAAAAAAACTACTGTTAGAAGATGAGTGAAATGGATAATGAAAAATATTGTTCGTAGCCTCCTGTATATTGTCGGGTCAGGTAAAACCTTGTACGTTACACGTTACGCAAGAGCGTGTTTATATCACTTTGGTAAATTGACTCGCTTCCGCTCGTTGCACAACATTCCCCTGCGTGATGTAAAAACGCTCTTACTACACTTGTAAGGTATATAGCTATTAATGTTGTTATAGTATTAATGGTTGTTTATAAAAAATAATGTTGTATTGGGTTTTAACATTATCAGTCCTATCATACTTAAGATTTTATTATTACCTATATTTTTTGTAACCTTCACCTTAGTAACCAGCTAAGTAAAAAAGTTTCGGTTTTGAGATTCAAGATTCGGGATTAGAAATTTCTGGTTTTGACCATCACTAATTAGAAGAATTACAAACGTAAATTTTTTTGAAGTTGAAGATTCTGTTCAAATGTTCTTTTAAAAAGGACTGATATATCAGTGCTGTAATTTAATTATTTTTTTGGTGTTTTACATAATCCTGTATATTTGATGCTGGTAGTGTAGCAAAAGTATTGTATGTGACTCATTCAAGAAGATGTTAATAGTACTCGCATGAGATGCCGTGCTCGGTATGCCTTGAATTATCATGCACGAACTATTAACACCTACTTCTGGCCTTGTGGCATATTACAAATAGATATATTTTGAAGTCTGGTGTCAAAAATCAACTAAAATAGTTAGCTAGGTGGACATCTTGAAATTTGAATGATAACATTTACTACAAAATAATAAAAAGTATTTTTCTACAAAATATGTCATCAGCTATATCTGAATTTTATACCATTGCTGTATAGTACTCTTATAGATACTTTAATCTGTTTATTGGTTTTCTAGTAAGAACTAAAATAAAATAAATACAAATATTAAACAATAATTATTAAGGAGAAAGGAAGGAAATACAAGTGAGTTACTTGTTTATCCTTCCTTTCTCCCCAATAATTATTCCAAAGCCAAGTTGCTTTTTTCCCCTTTAAACAATATTAAACAATACAATTTAATAAAATCAATCAAATTTTTCTAGTAATCTCGCTAGGAGTATTATTAACTTTACTTCCTTTATGGTAGTTGTAATTATAAAAGACTTAGATTAGATCCTTATTTTAGTAGGCCTACTATTTATATTAAATAGCCTAATTTGTATAAACTAATTTATGTTTAAAATCTGTGTCTTTTGAGAACCATAATAAATCTAACTGTACCCCCTTATGGCAATTTAGAAACTATAACTTTCTCATATTTTGAATACCAGTACTTTCACAAAGTATTGTTAAAATGACCAACCAGTTTAGCAACATACTAAACTTTCCACCAAATATTTAACTAGCCATGAATAAAAGAACTTTCACGTTTAATCCATTTATTTCCGGCAAAAAAAAAATGTGACACATAAAATTCTCCTTAAACGCACTAAAACCTCCATACCTTTACATTGCCATAACAAGTACGAGTTTTAAAGCGTTATTTACAGAAAATAATTTGAAACAACAAATTGACATAACTCAAAATACTCTGTCCTGATAGCCACTGTCCATCGATGAAACCGGTTTGCTGACCGTCGTGGAAGGCACGGCGCCGGGTTGGTGGTGGTGAGGTCGCATGTGTCCGGGTCGCCGAGGCGGCGCCAGGTACTCAAACATACTCTGTGTGTGCTGCGCTAACATCTTACTGAGGTCGCAAGGCATGGGGTCTGTCCAAAAGAAGTCGTGGTTGAGCGCAGAGTCAGCATCCGCTCGCTTGGCAGGGTCTAGCACTAGCAGTTTGTCAAGCAGATCGCAGGCGTAAGGGTCTTTGACATAGGGTTTTAACCGTTCTTTCACCTGAAATGTTAATATTTATGTGACAGGATTTGAGTTCTTTAACAAATAACTAAATTTATAAAGCATTTGAACATGACGGAGACTATAACGGTCAACAGTCTTCCGGGATTTAAGAAAGTTACTCTATTATATTGCAGAAGTGATGGTGTTGGTGTGTTTTACAAATGCAAAAACTAACAGATTTGACTTAAATTTGTTAATGTTTCATTTATAATTATGAAATTTTTACTTAATAAGGTCATGCTTTTATCATACCAAGGTTTTGCATTCTACTTAATAAGGTCATGCTTTTATCATACCAAGGTTTTGCATTCTTTTCTTTTTGGCTTACTGTGAAATGTATCTTATGAGCTTTAAGTAAAGAAGCCTGACTAAAATCAAAGATTTTAAATAAAACATGGGCCTACCTATTTTATATTAAAAACAATTGATTATATTGCCCCCATAGTATTAAATAAAACTCCTTCATCTGTATTGGCTTTTAATTAAGTAGATAGTATTCAAAATTAACTTTTAAGTAAACATATTTTGTTAAATTGGATCATATAATTGGTTGTATTGTTAGATCCTACAGGGACTAAGAAAAAAGCAATTTTAATTAACGTCTCAACTAACTTCCGAACTACAGTATACCTCAATTTTTTGAATTTAATTGGGACTGTACCACAGTTTTGGGTTAAAAAAAATCGGTTGGTTGGAGTTTTACTAAAATATGAAATATTTTATAGAAAATAAAATAATTAATCGAGCCAAGCTTTTACTATTGCCATTGCAGATTGCTTCTCCAAAGATTTAAGATTAGCACTTTTGCCACGGTTGCGCAGGATAATGATGATGTATCAGTGACCACAGGAGACGAAGATGATGTCCACACGACCTTGGGATATTCAGGATTTGTAGTGATCATAGCTTCTACGTCCTTTTGTAACGCTTCTTTTTATTATAGTTTTAGGTTAAACAAAATCTTTCTGTAAGCAATTTGAATAGTTGGAGTTTGGAGAGAAAGTTAAAGCTCTTTTGTACTAGATAAAAAAAAGAAATGTCAACGTTGCATTCAAATAAAATTGGAATGTTATTTTCTGTTGTTTGCTTTCATACTGCTAAAAGGTGAATTTTCCTAGCTGCTGAATTTGGTTGCAGAATCATGAATGTTATGCGAATGTTTTAGTGCCATTCTTCAGTTACCTGCAAAATTTGGGTACTAGGACAATGCTCGTACCTAATCCTTGTGTGAAGAGTTTGTGCAGAAAAACGCTGCCACATTGGGCAGCTAGAAAGACCTGCCTTTACATAAAAAAAAGCTTAGACAATTCTGAAAGATTAAATCTCTCTTATCTTTATAGATTTAATCCGAGAGGTGCTGTTGCAGTTGTATGATTTTCATAAGGGTCAATTTTGAGCGTTGTGTGAAAACTTTCATTCAAATTTTGAAAACAGTGGCAATATTAAGTTGAAAATTGGTATTCTTCTAAGCGAATATAAGATGTACCAGCATAATGAATTTCTTTGGTAATTGAGTAGGCTAAGACAAAAATATTAGGTACTGTGATAATTTGAGATGGAATAACCCCACAGTATGTACACCAAAATACTCTGTATAACCAATAATTTGGATACCGAGATGGTCAGGTAAAATGACTACGGATTTGACAAGGAGTTATTCAGTAAAGTGTTGATGAGACAAAGTTACCTTGCGTTTCTGGCCGCGGGGAAGCTCCATCTTGTTGTACAAGTCTAGAGCCTCGACACCAGGCCACACGTCGGGAGTTATTGAGCCACACAGCTGGGAGATCAGGGTCAGCTGTTGTTGCTCAGTGTTACCTTGCATTATGGGACTCCTGCGTCACAAAAATATATTTCATTAGTTTAACACCGTTGGCATTAAGCATTTAAGAACATTTAATACTTATGCAGGAAAGTAATCCAAACCCCTAAAAATTCTGTGGATATACTTGCATTAGCTGTCCCTCTCGCACTGAAGTCTATGAATCGTACCCTTAGGCGAACAAGATAACCTCTCACAATCATTCCAAGAATAATCTATTTTGTACGGTTGGTGTTCTTTAATTGAAAAATAAATAAAAAAAAAACTTTATGGGAGGATTTAACAGCATACACAAAATATATTCAATTAAGGGACTTGGAGCAAAGTTGAGAGTTAAAAATACAATATTGTTGTGCCATTGACAGAGATTGTACAATGAAGTCGCAAATAAACACAATTGTGTAGGCAAATATTTCCTCATACCATCTCTGTACTTAGAGGCAATATGATAATATTGAGCAGCACTATCTGTAGAAGAGGAGATATGTATGAGGACAGTACATTCCGTTTAATCCAAACTAATTGGAACCGAACCCTGTTTAGATTAGCTGATTGTTCGGATTAGCCAAAATAATCAAGAAGGAAGCAATTTGACAGTGTATTTGACCGTAGTGTTGTAATATGAACAAGCAATACACAAAAAACAGTATTAATAGTCCATTTACTCTAGAAAATAAAAAATTAAAATTAGTGGTGGGCGGATCCAAGAAAATGTCGGTACCGGATACGGATCCTGTAAAATTCGGATCCGGATCCAGATACCCACTGTCATAAGAGCGGGTTAAAAAACCGTAATTAACAAAATGCCAATTTAAATCATGCTGTTTAAAATTAAATTGGTAATGTTTAAAGGTTAATATATCTTATATATAGAGTACCTAATCTCCAGTTGAGCCCATAATGCCTCATTTTTTGGGCACACTAAAACTTTTCAAAATCTTAAATGAAACTATGTGCTAAGTTTGCACGACCACCAAAAGGGTATCTGTGTATATTTTACTATAGTTCGATCTTGAGTACGCTATATCGTGGTTTGTGCATGCAGCATCCAATTTATTTATGCCTGGATCACCTCTTGATAATCTCTTCCTTAAATTCGTTCCAGGTCCACAGTACTGATAGCCGGGTATGTGAAGTTCTACAGGTAAAATATCCTGTGTCTGTGTACAAGAAGACTATTAGATGGGGGAGTCTTGTCTTTTTATTCACCCTGTATGTACACAGACACAGGGTATTATACCTGTAGAATTTCACATACCAGGCTATCAGTACTGTGGACCTCCTGGAACGAATTTATTGGATGCTGCACGCAAAAACCATGATATAGCATACTCAAGATCGAAGGTAGGGATGTGTCGAATCCGGATCTCGAATCCACCGAATCTTAAGAAAAGAGATTCCGAATCTAACCATAGAGATTATTGACCTCGTAATATACAGTACTGTGACATTGACTAACCATAGAGGTTGTTGACGTCAGCAATATACAGTACTGTGACATTGCCTACCATAGAGATTGTTGACGTCGGCAATATAGAGTACTGTGACATTGCCTAACCATAGACATTGTTGACGTCGGCAATATACAGTACTGTGACATTGCCTAACCATAGAGATTGTTGACGTCGGCAATATACAGTACTTTGACATTGACTACCATAGAGATTGTTGACGTCGGCAATATACAGTACTGTAACATTGACTACCATAGAGATTGTTGACGTCGGCAATATACAGTACTGTAACATTGACTACCATAGAGATTGTTAACGTTGGCAATATACAGCACTGTGACATTGCTTGACCATAGAGATTGTTGACGTCGGCAATATACAGTACTGTGACATTGACTACCATAGAGATTGTTGACGTCGGCAATATACAGTACTGTGACATTGGCTAACAATAGAGATTGTTGACGTTGGCAATATACAGTACTGTGATATTGCCTAACCATAGAGATTGTTGACGTCGGCAATATACAGTACTGTGACATTGCTTGACCATAGAGATTGTTGACGTCGGCAATATACAGTACTGTGACATTGCCTTACCATAGAGATTGTTGACGTCGGCAATATACAGTACTGTGACATTGCCTTACCATAGAGATTGTTGACGTCAGCAATATACAGTACTGTGACATTGCCTAACCATAGAGGTTATTGACGTCGTAATATACAGTACTGGGACATTGACTACCCATAGAGATTGTTGACGTCGGCAATATACAGTACTGTGACATTGACTACCCATAGAGGTTATTGACGTCGTAATTTACAGTACTGTGACATTGATTAACCATAGAGATTATTGGCGTCGTAATAAACAGTACTGTGACATTGACTACCCATAGAGATTGTTGAAGTCGGCAATATACAGTACTGTGATATTGACATTAGTATTTTAGTATACAGACACAGATAGTCTTCTTGTACACAGTCAAAGATAGTCTTGTACATAAAGACAGCTTTGTGTTAGTAAAAAATTGGGAAAAATTGGATCCATCAAAACCGGATCCAGCCCAAAATCCGGAATTTTTTGGATCTAATCCGGTACCGGTTCTAGCTCGGACCCGGCGGATCCGGTAGTCCGATATCCGGATCCGACCATCACTAATATAAATTAAATAAGCACATTAGCTAATTACACTCAACTTTGCATGGACTTGCGAGCGATATGAATGGGTGGGCGGACAAGTATAATGTGACGATAATGAGCACGGATTGTACGTCTGCACGCACTGCTTACCGGGACTCTACGGTATGTCTGCCCCCCGGTGGAAAAAGCACCACGGTATTCGGCAGCTATCACCGATGAACAACTTTCTTCAGATCAGGCTGCGGCGCAGGAATACATTGCTTTATTTGATAATTTAAGAAAGGCGTGCTCCTGGGTTTAAGATGGCTAAGGACCAAGTAACTATAATGGCTTGTTCCAGTGCTGCTGTTAACCATAAGCTTTTTCTCATGATGATAGGCAATGCTGCTAAGCCTTGAGCCTTCAAACATATCAATATGAAGTCATTTCCAGTGTATTATAGGAACCAGAAGATAGGCTGGATGGATGGGAAATTGTTTAAAAATAATGGTTCCATGCCTTCTGTTGAAAGGTTTAGCATAAAAAATGGCATACCCCATGTGCTAGATAATGCACCGTCCCACCCAGACGTTGATGAACTTAGGCTACATGTAGCGAAATAAAGGCTGCCATTTTACCACCAAATGTTACGCCTTTACTGCAGCCAATGGACCAGGGGGTTTGGCAGGCACTTAAGTTAAAGTACCGCAAGCATTTCTTAAAGTCCTTAATTGAAGATGATGCAATCCCCTAGGTTCAAAAAATTAAACAAACAAACGTAAAGGATGTTGTGTATTGGGCTGCTGAATCTTGGGAAAATCTTAAAGCTGGAGCGATAAGAAAATCTTGGAAAAGCTAAGGACATCATTAGATTTTGAAGAAAACCCTACCGAAAAACCCAGCTAACCGGTTACCAATGATACAAAACATTCCTGGTTGTGAGAACGCGGTCAAAGAGTACGTGGGTGAATGGATAGCGACGGACGGCAATATTGTAGAGACCCTGACTGACGTTGACATCATAGCAGCTGGGACGCAAGATCATGTTCAGGGCGACCAGGGAGGGCAGTGATGACAAGCCTGGGGGCGGGGGAGGAGAGGGGAGAGTGACACACAATGAGGTAGCTGCAGCGCTTAGCCTACTTTTAATATTTTTTATATCAGTGCAAATTTATTGAAAAATAATTTCTTTGGCAAGTTCGGATTAAGCGGACGTTTGGATTAACCGTGCTCGGATTAGCGGGACTCAAGTGTATTAGGAAATCTATGAAACTTTTGATGATGGTTGGTGATATACCGTTAGGTTTCATTTTTTGGACCTATAGCCTAATCAAAATATGGCGAATACCAACTTCATTTTAATTTTATATCATGTTAATAGCACTGGTACAGAAAAATTAGGAATTAAAAATACAGGAACAGAGAAGATTAATGCTGCATCGAATTTCATACTTCACTTTTCAGCTCTTCTTAAGTAAAATTCCAGTTTCACTTCCTTCGACAATACTGTACCCTCAAATGTATCACTATTGCTGTTATGAGATAAGGACACTACTGAGGCTCAAATATGAATGAAAAATGAGTTAGATGAATTGATGTCTTAGGACGCTTTGTTACTGAATAAGATCAGCTGTTTCTTTGGCCAGCTGGGTATAGTTTCTACTTTCAAAGAATCAGAAAAACTTAATTTTCAATAGATCGACCAGGCAATCATTTGTATTAGCTCGTCTAAATGTTATTGGGTGTTAATGGTAATTTAGAATACTTACTTTCAAAACATAATGCAGATTTTCTTGTCAGCTTAACAGGTTCCATAGGCATATGTGGACGTGCAAACATACTCCACGAGGTAAAAAGAGGTCCAAATGTCTCAACCTCAACTTTTATCAAATGTTAACATCCTCATCTCAACATTACATTACCTTGTCCACATTTCCGCCATAATACAGCCTGCGCCCCACAGGTCGACTGGCGGACCGTAGTTGCGGTCACCCAGCAGTAACTCTGGTGGTCGGTACCACAGCGTCACCACTCGGTTTGTATACCTACGGTTACGCCAGGTCGTAAAAAACATCCACTACATACAACACTATATGAGCAATCATAATTGCTATGTTAGTATACAGCTTGAGTGAATTCCTGTTTAAGTTAATGTACCTTTGTAGATGAGTCACTAGATAATTTTTAACTTGTTATTAATGCACTATCCAGTTCACTGTCAATAAATCGTAAGTAGGCCAAATGTAAAAGTGTAGCTGTACACTTTCATCCACAGATTATTATTGTCTACAAAGCTTGCACTACAAAGTTGTGTGTTTATAAATCTGCGGCATCAGTAACCATGTGGCATGTTTATACTTAGGAGTATTTTTAAAGTTTTCTTATCTAGGCCTATAATGAAATATTAATAGTCTTATACAGTTATTCTGAAAACCGTAACATGGCAAGTAGTCCTACATTTTTTTGAAATAAAAAAAACTATCCAGGTTAAATTCCAAATACAGAAAATTCTATATAAACTGTTGACTGAGGCCCATTGAAAGATATGACTAGTGACTACCCTCTTCTCTTACCGGTTTGCCTGTCCGTTTTTGGTTGCACTAAACGCTCTTGCCAACCCAAAGTCTGCTAGTTTTAATATTCCAGTTTTGGTTATCAAAACATTAGCTGCTTTCATGTCTCTATGTAGAATCTGAAAAGGGATAAATTAGATTAGTTGAAATTCTGTATTTCTCAATTGAGAATTTTGATCAGTGCAAAGTTTTACATTATACAGTTTTACACATAAGTAGAACTACTGCAATTAATATTTGAGCCGAAATATGGATATTTTTTGGAGGTTTGTTTGTTTTACAGGTGAGAATATTTTATCTAAAAACTGTTTGAGCATTTATGGTTAAATTATGCATTAGCCCATAATCATAACTCATTTAACACGTTCGCTGCAGCCTACTGCTATTAGCACAGCACTAGCACTGCACGCGGCCTTCTGCTAAATCAGTAGTGTGCTCACCTGCCAACTATTGCGTCAGTCTGAGCCCAGCACTCGGCCGGGCCTATAGCGTGTAGTGTGTGACTTGCTTTTTGTTGTGGTGTAGGTTGTTTCCCCATAAAATTCCAGTTAGGCAAGCTTAAAAATCAACTTGTTGTCCCGTCATTCTCCCTCCAATTGACAATACAATCACAATGGGACCGGCTACGTTCCAAGCAGTGCTGCTATCGTGGGTGTTTTAGCTAACTACGTTGACTCTCTTCGTAAAGCAGGACATCACCGCAAGTTATTTGCTATTCGTCAGACCAAAATTTGAAAGCCAAACACGGCAATCGGGTTTGTTCGACGCTGCGGGCTGCGCTGCACGGGGGATATGCCTACCATTTGATGTGCCGCATCAAACGTGTTAAAGCATACTAAACTATAGCTTTTTACCACAAACCTTGGCAGGATCCCCATCATAAGAGTGAAATTCATGATTTATTCACGGTTTTTTACATATTTTGCATTTTTTTCGAGTCGACATTTAGGCCAGGTACAGGCGGAATCGCGACAGCACCAAAAGTTGGGAGCAGCGCAGCATTGTTTCTTTTTTAATGTGTACAGTCGACAGATTCCAGCTAGATTAGTTTTGATTACTATTTTTGACCAAGTTAAGATACCAGCAGCTAAAACTTTGAGTGATTGAGAACCAAGTCTGAAAATCGAGGCATTCGGGCTGAGCAAAGTTCCCGCAATCACAGAAAGCGCCTCCAAAGTTTGCATGGTTTCACTGAAAGTCAAAAAGAATCAAGAATTGATTTTTCTTCAAATCGTAGGTCTAAAAGTTTTGAGTAATTAGAGGATAAGAATCGGCCCATTCCTATTTTTAATGTTGGATTCCAAAATTTACGGCTTATTCACGTTATTCATGGTGACAAAATTTACGTCAATAACAGTTTTCAGATTTTCACAGTTGAGTGTGTACCCTGCTTTAAGACTCGAGGGTTTCCATTTTCCCTACTGATTTATGGAGAAAATCTCAAACCAGTCTTCCAATAATATCGTCTGACTAAAAGTAATAAAGAATCAAGTTTAGCTATCATAATATTTTCAACCCTTTGTTATGGAGTCTTCCTAAATGACCTTTCAGGTATCTTAGGCCACTCTTAGTGCCCAGAACCATTCCTGAGCAAAGTATTGGCAGTTACTGGTGAGACTGAGGACAGCTGTTCAATATGACATTATACCTGACACCAAAAATGACAGTGGCAATTTTAAGTGGCCCAGCGTCACAAGTGTGAGTACAACAGGGTATGGACAGTGGTAAGTAGCCTACGCACCACCACCACAACCACCACAGGGTTAATTTGGGGTAAGATATTAAACTATAACAGATTATTATTTTGCTTAGCAATACAATACTTAATTAATAAATATTACAATCCTTGACACTATTTGCGACTTAATAAGAAAAATAAAATGGCTCACTTACTTTATTGCTATGAATGTAATATAATCCATTGAGTAGTTGTTGCATTACTTTTTTGATTTCTCCGAGGCTAAATTTCACATTCACATTGGATAGTAATCCCGCTAGGTCGTGTTCACAAAAGTCAAAAACTAGATAAAACGTTGATCGATATCTATTAAACTGTGTAGCTGAAACAAAAAATATTATTAGTTTTCTTTTTAGTTTGCAATATTGTGTTAACAGACTGTAATTGTAATTTATGTAGGTAGCAAATTGAATTCTACACATATGTCAAACAAAACTTAACTGTTGAAACGTTTAAATATAATTACAATATTATTTAATTTTTTCTTACTTAAATGCTACGCAATTTAAAAATTTTATATTATGAATCCAAACGGAATTTCAGAGACAATTGAATATTTTCTATTCCTAGTGTCTACACCAATGGTGTTTTTGAAAAAGGTGTAATTTAAATTTATGGCTTGGATGTAATTAAATTTATTGCTTAAATGTAATTTAAATGCAATCAGTCCAAATTTATAAAATGTTTTGTGGATGAGCCGGGAATTGCCCCTCATGGAATACCAAAGTCTGAGACACTAAACATAAGGCCCTACACTAGGGATGGACAAGTCTTGAAATTTCAGTAAATTTTTGGTAAATTTAAAACTCTTGTCCTACGAGTCCTACGGTTGATCTACTAGTTCTACTAGTTTGTGAACTCCTGTTAACTGGATTTGGGTTACCGAAATGGTTTTATAAAATAATACAGGGCTGTAAATTGCTTTAGTAGCTTCAGTTGTTTAGGTTAAAATATTTTCTAACCCGTTGTAACTTTTTTGTAGCTGAAAAAAAAAAAAACACTTAATAATTATATAGAAATTATCTTAATTTCATCTTTACTCCACACCATGGTAATACATTGGCTATTTTTAGCATATGAAATTAAATGAAATTTTTTTTATTTTTTTTTTACAGGCAAAAGTTAGGGCCACACGACCCTTTCCAATTAACCTGTAACCTGTAATATAATGGGTTAATAAAAAAAATTGTTAAACGAAACGGCTCCCCCCCCCCCTTTATTTCTGTTACCCAGGGTTCAACTGTGTTTAGTAAATATTTAAAATATATATTTGACTATTGTTTGTACCCTATAACTTACCTTTAGTTCTACAAATTTCTATTAAATTTACTACATTTTCGTGTTTTAGAAGCTGCAATATCCTGATTTCTCGGAGTGCAGTGATCGGGAACTAAAACATAAAGTAAAGAAATTATTTCTAAACAGTGTTAATTTCTTTAAATTTCTACTAAACTTATCCACCACATCCTAATAAACACAAGATTTTAGATGAGGTATTTAATCAGTACTGTACTGAATTAATTCAAAATCAAGATTAATAATGATTTTGCTGCTAGTCATACAGTGGTTGTGACAGACAGCAACCTCATGTAGGCCTATTCATTTCATGTAGGTACAATTTTTCAGATCTTACAATAGTGATAAAATAGTATTTAGGCCTAACTAAGTTATAGATCCTGCAACAATTTTAGATGCAAAGAAAGGAAACAAGCAACGTTTAAAACCGTAATTAATTACGAGTATCAAAGAAATACAAGCTATTAGGCTACACTGCAAAATCTAAAAAAGTACCCTACACTTAATGTCTATTTCCAGAAATCTTGTAAATCTATTATCAGGGCTGGCCTAAGGGGTGTGGGACGTATGCAGCTGCACACTCAAGCCTTTTGAAGGCAGGTCACCAATGGCCAGTTTGCTATTTTTTGTTAAAATACCTTCCTTGTAACCGGTATCGTTGCATAGCACTCGAAGGGTTAAATTAGATTTTTAAAATGGCTTTGGCTTACTTGTTTACGAGACGTTCATTTTGAAGATAACAAACCATATTTAGGCTAACTTACATAAACTTGATGGAAATTTACCCGCTGAATGAAATTGTTCACGATTTGTTTTTGCAAAACAAACAAGAGCTCCAAATGGGACCAACAAGTTTTACAATCTAGAGAATGGGTCTACCTACACCTTCTTTTTCATTGTCCATCAACACTTTCTTCATTGCTACAACCTTCTTCGGATTCTTCTTCTCTTTGGCTTTGAAAACCTCCCTGGAAAAAACATTGTTTTTGTAGGCTGGGTACTAAAGTTTAAGTTTCTTACATTTTGTTAATGAGCCAAGGTAGGCTTAAAATTAATGTAGGCTACTTACCTTTTAAAATTAGTTTTTGGTTGATCTATATTTAAAACTTAGGCCTATAAGTTATTTAAAGTCGGCAAGCGTTTGTTGTAACCGCTTGCCGACTTTGGAATGACCTCTCCTTAGCCATCAAATACCTTGATAACCGGGTTCCCGGTTTGTGGTAGTGCTAAAAAATATGTATTTTGAACATATGGCCATAGTTGGTTTGTCCTAGGGGCTTGTACGCGTGGTTGGTCACTGACAGATGTGCTTTGGTGTGTGTGTGTGTATGTGTATTCTATCTGATGGTTAAAATAGATTAGGCCATAGACACCTTTTTTATCATTATAATTTTTTACAAGTCTTATGACCTTAATTGTTATGGCGTACATACGTCCAACGCTAGCTAAGGAATTCATTGATAGATCCGTAAGTTATAACTTAGGTCTAAGTTAACGCTTGTAAATTATATTTAGGATACTTAACATTTTTTAAATAAATTGTTAAAAAGGCTAGTGAAATAATAAAATATCGTAACAGCAAAAAAAAAAAAATCATGACTTCTTTATTACCAAAATACAAAACAGACTTAGGCCTAAGTTAATTTTAACTTCAATCATAATATGTAGGCCTAATACAAATAAAAATAACTTATTGATTCGGAACATTCAATATAAACGTAATTTAGTTTTGAATAAACAACACAACCCATTTCTAATCCACAAAATATATTCCATTAACTTAATAACTGTGCAAAACAAAACAAAGTTACATGACTAAGCTGGTCAGTTTAGTTTAAACAACAGATGTTAGGAGATCAGTGATGCCAACCCACCAATCAGAAATTTAACACGAAAAATAAACATAGGCCTACTGTATATACGGCCAAAGCTTGGGAAGGGTTTTCGTGTAACTACACACGAGTTTGTAAGCTTAGGCTACCTACTTATCTAACATGCTCCTTGATAAACCTATCTTTGAAGAGCCAAGTGAATCCTACAATGCACAATAGACCTATAACTTAAAGCTTAAGTCTCTATGAGTACAACACAAAAAAAAATTGTGTACGGCAAAATTAGGCCTAAGTTAACTTAGCCTACTCATCATAGGTTAGTAGGTAAGTTATTTAATGTAAACAAACGGGATAGAAGCTAACCTAACACAACTAAAACCATATTTAAATAAACTTAGGCCTAATAATTAAATTAACCTGAAGGAAAGTGAGCGCAGCGAACGAGCTCCAACCTAAAAATGAGTGAGCGTAGCGAACGAACTTCAAAAAGAACCGAAATTTCTTAAACCATGTCCTCACTCATAACTGCTATAAGCATTTGATACTTATATGCCAACCCCGTACGAAGGACGGGTACTCTGCTAGTTTTCTATAAGTTAGGCCTACTCAGACCACCCTTATTGATAACTTTGTAAGTTTTTTTACGTAGTCTATTTATGGCTTTTAACCTTAAGCCTATGTTAATTGAGAGCAATTAATATAGGCCTAGACCAAATTGATAAAATTGTAGGGTAGGATTACACCAAATTTCTTATACCCCAGATAGGGCCAAAGTTAACGAGTAAATACTAACTTACAAAACAATTATTTAATTAATAGGCCAAATAAAGGCCAAATAAGGATAACAGCATGTAAAACTTAGAATCCGACTCCCATAGGTCTATTCAAAAGATACAGCAATATACAGCACTCTAGGCCAAGGCCAAAATGATGCAAGTTCAAAGCTCAACCGATTAGCCTATATGTACAGTTGTAAGACTATTGGACATCTTTAGACTTACTAAGTTGATGATTGTATAAATCCTTTTTACCGTGAAAAATGGCATAGGCCTATCTTTCCATTCATTGCATCATAAGAAGGTAGGCCTAATGTAGAATAAGGTTGTAATCCATCAGTTAGAAATAGGATAAAAAGTGCTCACCCAAATGTGCCTTGACCAATTTTTGCAATCTTCTCATACTTTGTAGCTTCATCACAGTACGGAAAGTCGAATTCTTCTATATATTTCTCTTTTTCTTTGGTATTCATAATCGTAGATGTGGTCACTGATGAAGAACTATCGCCACCACGGCTAGTGCTCGGTCCGCCTATCATTCCAGTATTACTTACTTAGTAGATTTGTCAAAGAATATCCGAAACTCCTCAGAAATTCACACACTGACATTGTTTTAAGTTTAATCTTGAGAAAACTTACAATGCAATTTCTACAATAAATACAACTCACGGACAATATGAGGTTAATCCTGCAAGTCTGGCTGAGCTGAAAGCTGAAGCCAGGCAGAGCAGAGACAGAGCGAGAAGAAGATTAATTTCTCCTCTAACTATATAGAGTAGCAAAGCAAATTAATTGATGTAAACACAGACAGGCATGGATTATGAAACACGGTATCGAAAGACGCTCCCTTGAATTACAATAAATAAATAATACGGTCATTTAACTCGCCAGTGCATTGGCTTCGCTTCATCGGAAAACATAAATACCCCTACCACAGCAAACCTGCAGATTAAGTGTATTTCCATTTGCCTGATTGGATTTTCAATTAGTTAGATCTATTTAAATAACATTGGGTTTAACAAGACTGCCTAGGTTTGCTGTTACAGGGAGGGTAATAAAGTGTATTTTGGTATTATATTAATATTTCTTATTTATTTATTCTCCATTATTATTATTATTAATTTTATTCTCCATAAATACTGTTGTAACATGGGAATTTTAAATTTAAATTTTTTTTAATATCTCCGTAACCAATAACTGTAAAAAACACTTCAGTATACTAAATTATTTGTTTTTTAAGCTCTGGGGCCTATTTCATAATAAAGTACAAACTAATATTATTAGTAAATCAGCTGATCGCCTAATGCAAATATTATGGAAATTACAAGAGTGAACAAAGACGGTGACGGTACTAGTGTGATCCCCTACAACAGGTGTTCGTCGCGCGTCCGCGCCCGCGCTCGCGCTCGCGAAGCCGCCGCGACGTAAGCGTACGGTCGGTGATGTGTATATAAACTGTGTGTATATAAAATGTGTAAATAGATCTTCTCGTCTCCCTGATGATGCCACACACTGTGGCGAAATATATTGGAGGATTTAACATCTTTCTACAAGAACAAAGGCTATAAGGTAACAAACGTCCAATAATCAAGTTACAAGTTGTAACTTGTAGCTTACTATGAAATGGGCCCCTGCTCTCAGGCTTGAAGAAAAATTAAAATTTTTATGTTTAGTGGTCAAAAATGAGAAAACCGAATGTTTACCTCATAAAACCACCATAAACTCCCATTTCGATGGCCGATCATCAAAGCTGTGTATAATTCTGACAAATGCTTCTCTGATTATGTTACCCATATAAGCTCTTCTGTGCCTAGTAACCCAAAAATCTTCTGGGCCTTTGTAAACAAAATGAAGCGTGATAGAGACTCGGAATGCAGTTATACATTCAATGGACAGCATGCGTCTGATCCAGCTGAAACATGTAATCTATTCGCAAACTATTTTTCTTCTGTATGACAGACAACCTGCATCAGCCACGACCATCTTTTGGCAAAATTAAAAGGTTATGGCATAGTCGGAAGCCTGTTGCGATGGTTTGAATCATATCTTAAAGACCGCACCTTAGCTGTCAAGTTTGCATGAGCCAAGTCAATCCCTATCCCTGCGGTTTCAGGAGTCCTCCAGGGTTCTCATCTGGGTCCATTTCTTTTCAATATATTTGTTAACGATGTTGTGGATAGTATCGACTCTCAGTTCTTGCTGTTTGCTGACGATATCAAGGCTTTCAAGTGTATAAAATCTCAGGCAGACTGTTCCACCCTTCAACAATGTTTGCACTCAATCGACAACTGGTGCCTGGATAACAGCATGGATATCAATGTTTCAAAGTCTGCAGTGGTATCTTATCACCATAGCGAGCAACGTATTGACATAAACTAACCAACACAAGTAGACTTCTCATCCCATTGTAAATTTTGAAGCACGTTTTTCGTGTCTAGTTCATGTACGTGACACATTGGCGCTAGTGTCGACGAAACTTTGTTTCTAGTATTTTAGGGTTAATTTCATGATTTGTGCTTTACTGTTTGGTTATATAACTAGGGGACAAGTTATTGTTTATGATTAGATCGTATTATTTGGTTAAACGAGGTTTTAAATGGCTGTAATAACGGAATGGGCACACGGAAGGGACTAAGGCTAAATGTGTAATGACGTCATATCTCTAGTGGTTATTGTCTTCTCTTGAGGCGACACGATTACCGTAACGAAACGATGTGATTTCAGCGACATTTGTGGCATAGTTGGTAGCGTTTCGGATTGCTGTTCAGGAGGTCCGGGGTTCGAAACCCGCTGGCAGCATTAGCTTTTTGTCAACAAATTTTTCATATCAGCAAGTTTGGTTGGTTAGGTTAGGTTATGACAGTTTAATTTTATACTACTAAATTTTAAAATTAATTTTATAATTAATTAAAAATTATAAGTAATCATTAATTAGATTTTTATCTTATATAGTTTTTATATCATCAGCAAGTCTGGTTGGTTAGGTTATGTTATGACAGTTTAATTTTAAAAATTAAAAATTTATTTTATAACAAAAAATTAAAAATTAATTTAAATTTTTTCAACTTAGCAGTCCTAGCGGCGAACGCTGACACTACAAGATATGTTAGCCTTAGTCCCTCCCGTGTGCTTCACCGTGTAATAACGGGAAACAAATTGTAAACAAAACACGACCTCTACATAAACCGTACAGAACTAACAATCAAATTGTCTTCAGCTGTTCCATAAGGATGAGAAATCTACTAAGGGAGTATGTTTTATCTATGGTATTGACTTCTTCTACACGCCAGTGGGTCTTCGTCTTGGATACCGCTACGCAGATGTTACAGTGTGCGCCTTGGCAGCTGTCTTGGATCTTCGTACGCTGGTGTATAGAAGGAAAGTATTCGATCTGATGTTCCTACATAGACTGGTCAACGGAGAGATACTCTGTCCGGAGTTGCTTGAGCGGATTAGCTTCCACGTCCCAGGAGGGGGTACCAGATCGAGGGAGCTGTTTGCTAGGTCTTATCATGCTACGCTCTACGAACAGCACAGTGCCATCGCCCGCATACAAGCCATGGGAAACTCTCTGCCACCTGAAATTGATTTCTTCAACTGTAACACCACATGTTTCAGGAGATTGATCAGCTCGCTTCCACTTGATTAGAGAAGATGACCTATCTCATTAATTTAATCTCTCACTAATTTGTTAAATGCTTTTTATGTTTTGTTGTTCTCGTTGCTCTTTATTGTTATCTTAGTATTTATTGTTACATCATTGTTATTGTTTTTTTTATTTCGTTGTTGTTATTATTATTATTATTATTATTATTATTGTTATCGTTATTACTATATGCACTTTTGTTGTTATTTATACATGTTTGTTAGTCATCACTCATCAATTTAATTCAATAGTTGTGACACAAATTGTATCTTGTATGAAATGGTTTGTCCGTCAAATAAATGAAATAAATGAACAACGCCATCCTGCAATGGAAGGGTGTCATACGAGTAGCAGCAAACCTAGGTACCTGTTGAATCTAATTTTATTCAAAATAATACAATTAATAAAACATCCAATCGAATGGAAATTTGCTTAGTCTGCAGGTTTGCTGTGGCGGAGTTATTTTACTCATAAACCAAGCTTAAATTTTAAGATTTTATAGTATTACACTATTTAACTAAATGGGATAAATTATCATAATCCTTTAAAGTAACGGTCAATTTCCATGTGTTTTACCTATTTTTGATAAATAGAAAAAACTAAATATACTTAATCACAAATAACTCAAAAACCGTTGGATTTAGAGAAAGATGTTAAATACAAAAAATGTGTATTTTTAGATGGACTACGTTTTGTATATTTAGTTTTTTCCTGTATCTCTAATAATAAAGTCACTATAGCGAAAAATACAGAAATGTGCCGCCATTTTCCAATATGGCGGCCGTAGCACAGCTTCAATTTGAGGGGACTTTTAGTATGTTCAAAAGGAAGGTACACCCAACATCTGTACCAAATTCCCCGGTTGTGCTATTTTTTTTAGGTTTATGGAATTTTTCTATTATTTTTACTGCACTAAATGGAGATGAATGTAGATAAGAATTAAAATACGATCGATCGTTTCGGACTTTCTATATCAATTTTATTCGCGTTTTGTATTATAAAATCACAAAGTATTAACAATAAATTAATTGTTTTATATGTCAGCATGTTTTTTATTTCTAAAGGAGTCAATAATATTAATTATTCCTTATTGATTGGGTGTACCTGTAGATGATTTGTAGATAAGTATCTTATTTGGAATGTCATTCACCTGTATATACACATCATACACATACTGTTAATATGTGTAAATTAAGATTATAATAAATCATTAGGTCTGATGATGATCGGAGTGTCCAATCGAAATCGATCACCACTTACCATCTTTTTTGTATATTTACCGTCTTGTGAGTAACAGTATAAGCGTTAGTGTTATAAGACGTTTATTTTATTTACTTTCCGTAGATTATAATATTAATAACATGACATGTCTTAAGCTTGATTTGCCTTATTTGTTGTGTTTGTAATGATTATCCATATTTATGTATAGTTATCTCTGTTAATTACACTGACCGTTGACCAATAAACAAACAAAAAACATCACGGTTGCATTGCTCTATAACCAATGACTCATCGAACAGATTACTATGCCAGTCTGTCTGTTTCTACTTGTTTCAACTCGTTTTACTCTCACTGTGTCTGTCTACTCTACTACTACTACTGTCTAGGGCTGGCTGTCAAGTCAAGTGTAGAGTATTAATTTTCGGGACTTCTGAAGTAAAGAAGATTATTATTGTCTATTATTTTATTTGCGAGAAGTTTCGATAAGGAGTTACTTAATTTATTATTCAAACAGTCTTTAAGCGCTAAAATGACTTTGTGATGATCGAGTTTGGTTTAAGATCATTTCAATGTAAGTAGGTAGGTACCTATTTGACAGTGTTTTAGAGGCAAGCCTAAGTTACTCATAATGACACTATTATAAGAGATAGAATGGAGCTAAGCTACCTTAAAATGTAACATAGTTTTAATCATTATCTTACACATGTTACTTAGATTGAACCTATGGTCTACATTAGACTTGTAAATATACCTGATAGGCCTAGCAAGAAAGTTGAAAAATTCAAATCTTCCTTGGTAACTTATTACAGGGTCTTGTAACCTCATTAGGCTCACTTGTTTGCATTATGGTATACACTCCTCTGCTATTCTTAATCTCAATAAATGATCTTCCATCCAGTCTCAAATGTAACACATACCTTTATGCTGATGACACAACTTTGCTTACACACAGCAGAGATTTAGAATCTCTTGAGGCAAAAAACTCAGTAAAGGTAGCAGCAGAATGGTTCTCTGCGAATAGCTTTCTGTTAAACAATGAGAAAACCCAAACTGTTGTCTTTGGACTTCGTAAAATTCCTGAAGCACAATGTGATAAGGTCAAAGTTGTTAAGTTTTTGGGTGTTTATGTGGATCAACTCCTGTCATGGTCATATCATGTTGAACATCTCTGTACTAGACTAAGTAGATTGACATTTCTTTTCAGAAAACTCAATGATGTTGTTCCTTTTGACTATATAAAAACTGCCTATTTTGCACTTTTCCAATCAGCCCTTAATTATGGAATAATCTTTTGGGGCAGCAGCCCTTACATCACTGATGTTCTTTTAATACAAAAAAAGGTGATCAGGATCATGGCAAATGCCAATCACAAGGAACACTGCAGACCAATTTTTGTAGATTTTATGATTTTGACCGTTGTTAATTTTATATAACATTTTGTTGACTAGTTTTAAGAACCTGAAATCCCACACTCTTAGTGGGTGATGTACACAAGTTTAACCCTCCGAGCGTCACTTGTCGAGAAATCGACTCACGACACACTTTGTGTAGCGTCACTTGTCGATTTTTCGACACACGAACATCGTTTACGGCAAAGGCTCTATGACTGACTGAATCGGATTGAACTGGATCGAGTTAGGTATCGTTCTTTTTTTTAGATTCAGAGCTTTCTCCGGAGGTCTGTCTCTAAGCGCTATTCATTTTAGTTCCGAAAATATTGTAGCAGACAGCTGACGTGCGTATTTGTAAACAGCTAGGCCTAGGTTAACCTCGGACCGATGACTGATGTGTTTTATTACGTTTATCATTGTTTTAGTGTTAAAAATCAAAAGTAGTGATATACGTGGTGCATTATAAGAAGATTTAAGTGATTTTGAAGGGCTAGTTGATGATCCTGAAGAAGTAGGTAGTAATATTGATGTAAATTATCAGCCAGATTCCTAGCTTTGGTTAGACTATGCATTCTTAGCTAAACGCTATGTACTGGAATCTGTTTTTTGCCCATAACTTATTTATTTGAAAATCTACTTCCTTATATTATTATATATTTGTAATCCTCATAAAATTTAGAACAAAGTGGCTATTTTCAAATATTTATAGGCCTATAATTTATACAATTTCATTGAGCGCGAACTTTTTTTTTTTGAAAATTTTCCAAAATTTTTTTTATCTAAAAAATTTTTTTGAAACAAATGTTCCTTATGTTTTATGTATATAATTGAAGCCCGTGATTTTCCAAACAAAATGGTATATAGAACAGTAGAATTAACATTGTTTTAAGCTTCTCAGATCCGTTTTAATAAAACCTTGCAAATGCGCCAAAAATAGGCGGACATTAAGGCCTAAACTATGGACACTCGGAGGGTTAATACTAGGAATAGAGGTAAAATTGACATCCCTTATGTTAGACTTGAAAAAATGAAATCTTATTATGAAGTACTGGGACTCAAATGCCTAAATAAACTCCCCAATACTGTTACTAAACAACAAAGCCTTCAAAAATAAAATTCTTCTGTGGCTGACTGTACACCCTTTTTATGGGCTGGGAGAATTTTTTGAATGTTCAACCAAAGAAATCATAATCTAGTCACTGCCTTGTTCTAAGTATTTATTTTTTTCACTAAATTATATCTTGTATCTATTTTTTCTGTAAGTATACCGTAGTCTTCACTGTGCCATCTAAATGACCTTTGTATCTATTTGATTTTTTTGTTTATGCCTTATTTGTTATGTACTGTAATTTATCTTTGAATTGTGTTTTTGCAGCATGTATTCAACTTTATTTACGTATCCTAATGCATGTGCATGTCTAATGGAATAAAATATTGATTCTGATTCACTAACTATGGCGTACCATTAATAATTTTAGAGTCCTTAATAACTTATCGGTACGTCTAATGTGTGGCTCTGTAGAGCACTTGAATAGGCCTACCTTATCCAGTCCATGAAATACTTAGCCTACTTGAAATACTTGATCCCTTCATCCTTTACCAACAAAAGTTGGATAGGTTGCGTGATTATAGAAGACAATACAAACAAATTATTTAAGATAGGTAGATATACAATTAAACTGAACTGACGGATGTGACTTTTTGGGGAAGGCGAGTGGCTCTTCTTGAATACAAGGGCCTCTGCTAAGTAGGCTCTGCGAAGAGCGGATTTATTTTTCTTTGGGTCTAGAGCTCGGATATATTTATTGGTTGCGTGTTGATTAGTTTTATCGCTATTGAGAGGTATGACTGAAGTGTGTAATGAAGCCGACAACGAGGTAGGTCAAGGTCACCAGCCCTCGGGTCCCATAGTTGCTTCTGGTTGAGAAGTTAGTTAAATTGATTCTCATAAAGACTAAGATTTTGAATATATAAGTTACTGGTTGTAGATAAGATGCAAAGTTCTTCAAATATAGGCTGACAATGGTCAGTAGGGCCGGAAGATGTTACCAGTCTTAGAGTCATCTTCTGCAGCAGCAGCACAATCTAAACTACGTGGCTATGACCTGATACCACCAAGCCATAGTTGATATGGTGGAATAATGCTTGGTACATGATGAGCAGGTATGGGCGTGTGATCTCGTGCTTTAGCCTTCTTATCAGATAAATTCTGCTAAGCCTAACACACACCTTCTCAACATGTGATAATTCCAGTTTAGGGTACTTTCCTGTTAAAGGGAACATTCATTATTATCGATTATTTTTTCTCGATATATCAAAATTTTTGTTTTCTGGTCCATTACAAATTGACAACTGATCTTGTTTAGGCTAAAATAGACTGTTATATGGATTAAGAAATGAAACTGTTCCAACATAACCAACCAAACTTGTTGTACTATTTAAAAATTCCTTTTGATAACAGAAAAGGCAAGGTAAACAAACACGGAATTTTTAAATGTTACAGCAAGTTTGGTTAGTTATGTTAGGTTATTTTTTTTAGAACAGTTTCATTTTATTATTGTTTGTTGATACCGAACAATATTAATCGTAGTTGTCAGCTGATATGTTTCAATTTGTTAATATCGATATATCGAGAAAAATCATCGATAATAATGAATGTTCCCTTTAACAGGAAAGTACCCAGTTTAGTTTGAAGTCAACCCAGAACCTTAACAGTTTGACCACCTCGTCTACAATACCCTATTTGAGGGTCACATGATAGACTGTGTCTTGTCATAATTGATTTTGAGACAGTTTAGCACAAACCATTCATTGGCTTTCATTCAATAGGCTAGAAATGCTGCCTCTGTTCGTATGTCCTTCAGGTGCTGTGCCTGATCAGTAACGATGTGTCATCTGAGAAGAGCAGCAAGCGCCTGTTAAGGGACAGATCGTTTATTATTATTACGAACAGGCCAGGACCCAGAATCAAACCTTGGGGCACACCATGGTGCATTTCCTTGCTGCTGGAGGAAGCTCCATACAGCGAAACAATTTGTTTCCTGTTTTCCAAGTAGGTAGGGCCTAGTTTGCTAGTGATTTGTGGACCACTCTCCAGTGATGCCATACCATACTTCACGAGCTTGGCGAGGAGGATGTCATGGGAGCCCACGTTGAACGCCTTGCTTAGATCACAGAGACTTAGATGGATGGAGTCATTAGATTCAAATGCTTAATTTTTTTTAACTGTTTATAAGTTTAAAACATTTAAAATTTTCATAAATTCCCAATTAGCGAATTTTCCCTATACGGAATAATCTAATTTTGGGAATCTTTGATTAGCAAACAAATATTCCCGGCCCACATCACTACTGCAGATGAAGCAAACTTCTATTCGGAAATTGATTAGATTGATATTGATTGGATTTTTATTTACACATTTCCTTAAGTATGCCAGATTCCTTCCATATTTAAATAACCTAACATTAAGGTTAAATGAGACTTAGGTTTGACAGAAAAGGTAATGAGGTGTGTTTTCAGGACTTAGTAAAATATAATTTTTGCATAGGATGAATTAAGTACTCACCATAAGTTTGCCAAATTTGATGAGAATATCAAGTTATACCATAAAAAAGCAGACTACCCTACTTAGGGTAACACTTTTCTAACTCTCCTTAAGAATAACATGCGATTTTTCTCCATAACCCATTAGTCGTACAACCTCACTTCAAAATGGCCTAACTTACTATAAAATGGCCTAATTCTCACCCCATAAAACCCTGTTCAATTTGACCGGATTGTGTATTCTGCCTCTAGGGACATCAAAACAAAAAAGTAAATTGGTCCTGGTTTTAGCTCTTACCATGAGACCAATAGCAATAACTTATTTTCTCTAGGCTATATGGGAAATTCTCTAAAAAGACTGTTATTATCCTAGTTAGCCTGTATAACTTAGGGTTGGAATGCAAGCCAATATGTTTTAGTTAAGTCTAGCTTGTGAAGTACTGTTTGAAATAAATACCGTAAGCTGACCAAAATAGTAGCCTATACACCTAGTCAATATCGTGTTAACAATAATTTGCGTAGTGAAGAACTCTCGTCAATTAATCCTTAAGGCTGTTCTACAATTTTAGGGGCATTTAAAATACTTGACAAAATTAATATAGTGTTCTAAGAATAGCTTGGACTAATGTTTTTTTATTTACAGTGGATTCCAGTGTTCGAGGAAAAAGAAGGATAATAAATTGTCCAGTCATGACTAATGGCAGAAAAAATCAACTCTACATCCCCCCTTCCCCCCTTTCTTCCCTCTACTAAAAGATCTACAGCTGAGTTGGGTGTCTTGAACGAGAAACTCCAAGCTCAGCTCAGAGGCGATTGTAAAAAGTAAGTCAATGTTATTCTGGCCCAATATAAACTTCTACAAAATTGTTAGACTTAATCCTTTGAGCCCCACAAAATTTATATTGAATTTTCCTATTTTTACCATTAGGCCTATTATACTTCATCTTAGAAGCACCAATAATCCATAATTTAATAAAACAAGTTTTAAATATAATCACAAATACAGGGAGCGGCAAAATGATCTGACGGTTTTCTTAGCTGCCCTGTCGAGCGAGTGAGTGGCGGAGGGTGGTGGGAATAGGGGCGTTACAAAGCCAACGTGCGGACATTTTTAGTAGCCATGGAGCTGTGGACGACTGAGCACCATGTATTTGTAGTGGAAGTGTTTTTAAAAGTAGCAATTCTTGTGTAGCTGTTCAGTAAGCATTTCAATGTGGGTCAAAGAAGAAAAGTCCCAACTCGAAACACCATTTTGCTGTGGGTGGGTAGCTTTAAAGCTACTAGTTCAGCATTGAAACTAAAACCAACAGGCCATCCAAGGTCAGTCCGGACGCCAGAGAACATCAAGAGAGTGAGGAAGACTGTGTGGTGTGGTTGAAAGTGCGATTCGTCACTCATAATGACTATTTTGTCACGTGTAAGTAAATAAATCACTTGTTATGAAAATGAGATGAGCTTTACGTAACCCCTGTGCTTCAACTGCTGCAAGATTGCCATTTTGTATGAATGAAAGTGCGGGTCGTGCCGTAATACTCTTATACCGAGCGACCAGACATGTGCAGAGCTGCAGCTTAAATAAGCACGTAAATACGTGCAGGTCGCTGAGGACTAGCTTCCACAGCTGTCTTCTCTCACTCACTAGACGTTCCCTGGCGTCCAGGCTGACCTTGGACCTGTTAAACTTTTTTCAATGCTGAACTAGTAGCTCTGAAGTTACCCACCCACAGCAAAATGGTGTTTCGAGTTGGGACTTTTCCCCTTGGGCCCACATTGAAACGTCTACGGAACTGCAGCTGAACAGCCACACAGGAATTGCCACTTTTAAAAAAAGTTCCACTACAAATGCATGGTGCTCAGCTGTCCCCAGGTCCATGGCTACTAAAAATGTCCGCACGTAGGCTTTGGAACGCCCCTATTCCCACCACCCTCCGCCACTCACTCGCTCAACAGGGCGGCAAAGAAAACCGTCAGATCATTTTGCCGCTCCCTGTAGTTTTAATTGAACGTTTAGTGAATGCTACTTCAGTTGTTCGGGGGTTTAAGTCTAATGAAACATTAGCATTAGTTTTGAGTTTAGGTATCAGGGTTCTATAGTCAATAGTGACATTTCTTAGATACAGATAGTTTGTTAGTGTTTTTCTTAATTACTTAGACTTTTTAGTTAGGTAGTTGGAATTCAATAGTGATCATAGACAATGGTGAAACCAAGGTCATAGTCTTTAAATGACAAGTTAATCTGTATAGAAAAAAAATAGCTTACTCAAAATTATTGAGTTGTTCACATTGGCCTATCTGATAAATATTCCTACCTAGATCAAGTTGATGCTCTAAAAACTGTCCTCACTGGAGTTCTATTTTGAAATTTTAAAAGGTAGCATAATTACTGTAATATCTTGTTCAAATAATCGTTAATAAAAGTTATTTAGGGTTTTAGGTACTTTTTTGGAAGTAAATTACTCAAAATCGTTTTCAGACAAGTTTTACTTAGTTCGAGTAATTTTTAGGATTTATTCTGAGTCCCTATATACTGATTTGGAAATCACATTTGACTACGGGTGTATAAGAACACACAGTAGTTTTTTGAAGTCGAGAGCTCCAAGATTCTTCTCTGAACTTTGCTCCCACTACTGTCCAACACAGTCTGTGGTTGTTTTGGGGAAAGTTGACCAGTTTTCCATTGAGTCTTTCGTCAGGTATCTCAGTATATTGTGCCAGTAGTCTTTGGGATTTTATTTGTATAGCCTGTTATGTAGCATGCCGTTTATTTGATACCTCTAAGACTATTTTTAGGTTGTTTTAATCGGTTGGGTGTCCACAGTATTTTGCGCAACAGCTCAAATGAATTCACTGTGTTTTCCTGCCCACTGTTTTTGGATGCCCAACAAAAAACCAACCAAACACTTGGAAGGTTAGCAGCACCTGACATGTTATCTCTGCTGAGTGGCGATACCTAGGAAGCAGTTTTGAGACTATCATAATCGTAATATGTTTTTCGACTCCTTTATTTGCCAAAACAATGAAAAAGCTGAGTTCAAAAATTATAAATTGTTAAAATTGAAAATGTAGTGAATGTAAGCCTTGTGATTAATTTACAGCCGTGGTAGGTAAATAGTCTGCTACAAGTGTGCCTAATCCTCTAGCCTTCACAGCTTTGTGAGCAAACTAATATTTTTTTCCAAACTAGAGCATGGATAGTTTTCTCTGTTGATTTATTACCTCTTCTTGATGTTAGTTGTTATTGTTGTTTAGTGTTGTTGTGTGTGCACGAATGCATGATTTAAATCATTAGTCAGCCCACTTTATGCTAGGTTTGAGTGTATCATAATCGTTGATTTAAACATACACATATTACGCCATTGATTTAACATTTTTTGTAGCGACATTTATGGGGCTACTGATTCCTGTTAAATACAACTGTTTAACTGCAAAGATACTACATATCAAGAACCACCCGGGGACCATACTGCTCTGTCAGCTGTTTGATAATTTCAGCCAAAAAACCTATGGCTAATTTCCTGCAGATTTAGCTGTGCAAACACCTTAAAAATATATATAGATAAAACTTTTATTCACAATCATTACCTATTTCTGTATCTTACATATTTGTTCAAAATTGTAAGGCACATAAAGTTAAAGTTTTAAAATTGTTTAACGATAGCATATGAACAAGAGTTTAATTTTCCTAGTAGCTATGTTTTGTAAAATAATAAAATAATATTATTTATGTTTTGTTATTGTTTCAGGGAAATCTACACCCAAAACACAATACGTGAAAAGGAAATAGCAATTGTTGAATACTTGTCGGCATTGAAAAAGTTAAAGGTTGATGCTATAACTCCAGAGTCTGATGTGTATGTCACTCCTGAAACTTCCCCTACCAATGCTAGCTACAAGTTTGGACATGCTCGCTGTGTTTCAGACAGTGGTTTGAGTTCTCTAGCTGTTTCGGATAATAAGTATTTGCCCTCGCCTCTGTACTATTCATTAGTCACCGTCGATGAGGTCTACGGACCGGAATCCGGTGATATTTTGGAAAAGGAACTAGCCGAACAAGATCAGCTTTTTAAGTCTTTCAAGTCCATTATCTCTAAGGAATCAAAATCCCCGAAGAGTAAACCATTCACTTTACATTCCCCACTGCATAGAACTTCGCAGAAATTGCCTAAAAATTGTTCAGGTATCATAAGTCCGAAAGGTTTGGAGCTCAAGTTGAATGTCAAAGCGAATGGAAGGGATAAAATAAAGCATTTTACCACCAGTAGAATCTTTAAAGAATCAGATGGTTTTGGTGAGAGAAATGTGAAAGACAGATTTAGAGGTGATGTTTGTGATGGCAACCTCATTGACATCTCAGTAATGAACAAGGCTAAGGCAGAAATTGACGAGACAATGGAGGCGGAAAGTATCGGTCCCGACTCGTGTTTGGAACCTGCCTCTTCCGGCTATGTGACCGCAAGCAGCCCGAAAGATCATACCAATTCAGAAAACTATGGAGGTGATTTAACAGAAATTGCGACAAGTGAAGACATACCTCATGATAATGATCAATCTGCGAGGTCATCATCCATGTCATCTGATGCTGGGACTTGGGATTCTACTTTCCCGGCTGCCATTGACAAAGAGGATGACAATTTTGCAAGGAAAAGGGCTGTGGAACTTGATGATTATTCAAGTGCTCTTGTCTCTCTTGGCGACAAAGCTGTAACACCTAAAGCAAGCTTAACTAGTGTAAATCTGCTTCCGAAATCTGATTGCCCTTTAGATTATAACTTGGGAAGTGTAAACAACCAATTTAACTTGAACGAACAGTATTACAATACAAACGAACAAGAGAATCTTCTGGGTAGTGATGAGAGTACTGTCATGGACTCTTCCTTAACTGACTTATCTGCCTTAGATAACAAAGATGGCAAACTAATAGGAGTCAAGACCAACTGTTTCATCGATGCTGCAAGTTTATTGGATGAAAACGAAATATCGCCCGCTCCATCAAATCCGGTTTCCTTAAATGGTTATGAAAACCCAGATTATAATCATAAGTCCTCTTGGTCAGGTTCCGAAGTGGACGAGTATCAGTCTAATGACGTTAAAACTATTAACTATTGTGAAACAAATAAATTGGAAAGTGAAAATAATGCAGCAAAAGAAGAGAAATCCAACTATGACAGCGATTTTGAAAGAAGGCGTGCTAGTATTATTCGGCGAAACACTTTTGAACTTGAATTAGACGATGAAAGGCTTGCAGTTCTAAGAAACGAATGTGAAAAACATAAAGATAAATCTAAGAAAAGTGTAAGTGAAGGAAACACAAATTGCATAACTCCAGGCGAAACTGCAACATTCTCCATTGGTACTGAAGCTACAGTGAACATAGTCGATATTACTAAGCACACTCCAAAGTCACTCCCATCTCAACTAAATTGTTTTGATTCTAGAAAATGTGAAGATGAATTACACTCACCAGATTCACTCAATAACGATGGACCTTTAGAAAACGTGTTCAGTAATTGTTCTAAACAAGATTACAATCATTACTCACTGCCGTTTGAAATTAACACTCAAATAATTGAACCAGAAATTGTAACTGAAGTTGGAAACGGTTCATTGACTCACCATGTGAACCAAGTGGATGACACTTCCCTATCAAATGGGTTTGAAAATGTGACAAGTCCATACAAGAACTGTGTAGAGCATATCCAAAACAAGATAGAATCTACTCCTATAATATCAGGCGGTGTATCATTGAAAGATCTGTCATCACCTGAAAAACCTTATTTCAGTCCTCTTATGAACCGGAGGAAGACAGAACTAGCACCCATAGTATCTGGAGGATCAGTTATAGATACTGAAACAGAAAAAGAGCTTAAACCTAGAGCAAGTCCTCCTGTTGCTTTATCAGAGTCTTGGATCGTTGATATGAGTTCAGATAAAACTTCACCAGGAATGAAAAAGAAGCATCTTAGTGACTCAGTATCGAGTTTAAATTCAGAGAATGCAGATAAGGTTACTAAAATGAATTCTTCATTGGGGTTCTTCATTTCTCTTGATGACAAAGTAAATAAAACCCCTAGTACCAGTAGCAGCAGGTGCTCCAATTACAACACAAGCAAACAGAGTGACATTGATAAAACAACATGCGGGGCAGAACTGGTGTCAGGTAATGGCAGCTTCAGTGGAAATAGTTCATCTTGTGGGTTTTTTGTTGACTTCAACAGTCCTGCTGTAGATAACAAAGTCGTAGAAAAGGAGTCTGCTGCTCCAGACAAGAAACTATTTTCCATGTTTATTGACATAAGTGAAACCGGAGAAAGTGATGGCAATTCCAAAACAAACTCTCCCCATGTTTTCAAGAAGAGAAATCATAGGAGGACATTTTCAGGTGTGTTTCCGAAATGCGATGCTAGAAGTAGATCGACAGAAATCAGTTCAGAATCGAGTCTAGAAATGACAGAACCCTCTGATGCTACAAGAGAAAGGATGTCTTTAGAAAAGGAATTGCATGTTTCGAGGAGATCTAGTAGTCAAGGAAAGTCAGAAGAGAAAAATAAGAAACAAAACACTCATGCTAGTATTGAGTCAGAGCCATCTCCTGTTCCTCATCGGAAGTCTTTACCCTCAGGGTTACAACCAACCTCACAAAGACACTCCTGGAATTTTGATTCTCACAATGTAAACATCTCTGCAGCTCCGAGTGAAGAAACGTCAATAAAAGTACACAAGAGATCACACAGTGTCTCTGTAAATAAATCTCTGGAAGTGATGTTCAACGTTGAGCATGACGAAACCAAACCTTCCAGTGTATCTTCAGTTAAAGCTTCTACAAGCAACTCAACAGGTTATGAGTCGGGGCCATCCTCAATTGATGATACTGTCTCGAGATCTTTCAACAATAGAAGTATGATGGCTTCCTGGCATGGGTCGATAAAACCAAGTGCCGAACTACAAAAAGTCATTGCTAAAAGCGAATGGAAGGACAAACCTCACAAACTCAAGAGCCCTCTGGATTCCAAATCCGACATAGTAGATATCTGTGAATCATTTGACAAGATCGATGAAGTAGCTTCCATTACCAGAAGTGATGATTTCAGCAACGCCTCAAATGAATCTAGCAACACTGGGATCAACAATTCTACGTTTATTATCAGCGACGTTTCAAATGTAGCTAATGCTACCAGTGAAGACTTGGAGCTGACCACACCTACTACAGATGTCATCAGTCAATTGTCCAAAGACGACAGTGACAAGACTGGAGACTTTGATGATATCAGCGAGAAGAAGTCCGGTGATATTCCTAGGACACCGGATCACAGTATTTCCCAAACCGAACTACCCCCACTAGAAAACAGTTTCAGCTTTGTTAAACTATCGGATATGGATAAAGAACCGAACAAGGTTCCTTTAGAAGGGAAGAGCATTCCGAACAGGATGACTAGAAGTATTCCAGAAGCTTCTTGGATAGAAAGTAAGATGATGACAAGAAGTGCCACAAGTCGATCCTTGAGTCGATTATTCCCTCACTTGAACACATCAACTCGTAACTTGACACCAGAGTCTGTAGAACAAGATACCGGTACTGACTTTTCAGAGATCAGTAGCATGCAAAGCAGCATGGATCCTTCAGCACTAGGTAAGAAATGATTTTCATTCATAACTGATTTAAATTTATGAATTTCTCTTTGAAGAAGTTATGAAGACCAATTAGCCATTTAGATTTGTTAATGGGTGTAGCTTAAAAATATCACTTATTTTCAAAAATTTAAACAATGTAAAGCTTTGTTAACACCTAGACAATTTTTTTATATTTAGCTTGAAAAGATAACTCAACTTTACTTTTTTTCCTAAATTACTGATTACTAAATAATGCTGAATACAATGTGCTGTTTTTCAATCTTATTCTCTTTTAGTTTGCTTGTTCATTTGGCAAATGTTTTACTGTCAAAAAGTAATTTGACTGAATCTTTTGAGTGGTTCTTTTTGCAGTACAGTAGAATCCTTCATATCTGACCACCATGTTACCAAGCCTCTGGCCAGACAAAAAATCTATAAAAGGTATAAAATAATTACCTGAGTACTGGCCAGAGTGATCCTGTTACAGTCCTCAAGATCAGATCTTGTACAAGAACATTTAACACTGTCACTTCAAAAAGGTTGTCAAGAGTTTAAATACAAAACACGGACACATAAAATAAATACAGACGTTTTACGAACAGTTACGTCTAGGCCTACAGACAAAAACTTGCAATGTCCGACCGCACAGTTGTAGGGTGAAAGTCATGACTCATCAGTCACGAGTAATGATTTTAAAAGACTTCAAACTAATGCTTTATAAAAAAGTTTTGTATTTTGTGATTCTTTTCTTTTTTCCTTTTTTCATTTCGCATCACTTAACTTTATCATTCACAGAAGGTAGCACTGAAGAGACTTCAGCATCCTCATGTGGAGGTCCTGTATCCCGGTTAGGAGAGGATCTGCTCCGGATGTTCCTGGAAGAGATCAGTCCGGACGTGACTCTGGAAGTCTCCGGAAGACGGATCAAGGCTCACAAGTGTATACTGAGCTCCAGATGTCAATACTTTGCAGCCATTCTGAGCGGTGGCTGGGTGGAGAGTGCGGGAAACGTTATTTCCCTTCAAGGGTAATTTATTTTCAAGTGTTTTTTTTTATATTCCTTCCTTTGAATATAGATTTAGTTAGTTTTGCTTTGCCACACATGTAATCTCAATTATCAACCAATACTTGCTGGAATCGTGGGGTCGTTCAAATTGGAAAACCTGAGTAGCTGGAGGATTTTTGAGAAAAAAATTGTTTCCTGATTGTTTATGTACTTAACGCATTACTAGTCTGTCTTATTAATCACCATGACATTTTGGAAAACCTTTCTTCATGTGCTTGGAAAGGTTTCTGTTATTCCTGTTTTATCAACCGAGGGCTCTGAACCCTGACATTCAAAGTAATCATGTTTAGTTTAGTGGACTTGAAGACATTTTTTATCCATGGTGTGGTTTCCGTTGCAAAGCACAGTTAAAAAGCTACTTGTAAACAAATCCAATTTTATTTCCAGGTTTTCCTACAGTGCTGTCCACTTTGCCTTGTGTCACATATACAGTGGTGCCAGCAACATTCCTGACTCTATCAACATTGTAGAACTGGCAACACTGGCTGACATGCTGTGTCTCGAAGGGCTCAAGGAAGTGATTATGTACACGCTCAAAGTTAAATACTGCCATTTTTTCCACAAGGTAACTGCGTTGTTATTTTTTATCTATAGTCATCCTAATCTTTTTAGTTTACAACTGACCTTGAATGTAAAAACTACTAGGCTATCTAAATATTTTATGGCAAAAAAGAGTTCCTAGATTTAAGGTCTGTGAATGTAAATGAGATCTTAGCCTGAAGGCATCGACATTTCATAAATCAGCCTACTTTTCACGACTTGCCTGTCTATTATACCCACTCCATAGTTCTTCACCATTAGGCCTAAACGATAAATTGACTGTGTATAGTCAATGCTATTAGTTAATTGACTTAAACACTTTCTATCTGTCTTCTGCATTGAAGTTATAGTTTGACTTATAATTTGCAGCCATGCCCGATGTGCACTGTGGGTGTGTTGGAATGTTTGCCGCTTGCTGCTGCGTACGGCCTGGATGAGATTTACCGCAAAAGTCTACGCTGGATCACCAAACACTTTGTTAGAGTCTGGCCCACCAAAGGATTTGCGACCCTGCCCCGGGAACTGCTTGACAAGTGCTACAAACAGCACATCGTTCATATGGTTAGTTCTCGCACTTCTTGTTAATTATTTCAAAATTTGATTTTTTATCACCTAATTTTAATTGATTTATACTGTAAGTGGCAGTATGCTAAACGCTATATTTTGTCATGCTTTTGCAACTTTTGACACTGAAAGACAGTCGAGTGTAGTAATATGGATCTGGGGTGTGTGTTGTAGCTTGAGAAAAAAGTGAAACCTTAAATAAGCTTGTCAACCTTAATAAGTGTTTTTGAACAGTGTTGATGTCCAGAGTTTTGTCATTCCTATACAATAACACATGACTCACGGCTACAACAGAACAACAGCTAAACTATTATGTGAAATTTCTTTATCTTCCATAATGTCTAAATTCAGTCCCATTAGGATTTGAGATTTCACATTTTGTAAGAGATTTACAGATTTGTGTGTGAAATTATAGGCCTAAATATAATGATAATTATTTTAAGACAGCAAGGCCACCTAGTTTCTAAAATCGTTGATAAGAACAACAGCACAGAATGAAGTGAGGTATTCTGTTGCTTTGTTATTGACTGAATCAGCATTTTTATTTGGAACAGTTGGATCAAGTTTTAGACCATAACGCTATTAAATTTTCTTTGGATCGAACCGGCGACCTTTTGACTATCAGGAAAAACAACATCCACCCAGCTTTTTGTAATGTGATCCATCGATGCTGTAATAACATGATCTGCCACTTCTTCAAAGAGAAAACTAACTGAAGCTGTATTAACATAAATTATTACACCAAACCCTTTGTTTCAGACTGTGGACAATGTGCTGGAGACCATTCTATGCTGCAGTAAGCTGCAAGGGCTGATCCCCAACGTGAGGTGGGCAGAGCCGGTGTTGGCTCTCACCAACAAGCTGTACGATGCTTGCGTCAAGTTCACAGCTCAGCACTTCTGCGATATCCTCTCCAGTGACATGTGAGTCAAGTGCAAAAAATTACCCAGAAATACCTGATCGTTTCAGTCATATAACTGTCATTGAGAGTGGAGACAATGTATTGGGTCAGAAATAATTCTACAAATAACTATTAAAATTTGCTTTATACTGTTTAGGATTTTTGGTCAATACAGTAGTTGTCCAACGATTTCCCAACAGACTTGGGGATAGAAGAATTATTAAAAATGTTCGATTTTCAAGATTGGGTTTTCTAAACGGATTTGATCAAGCCAAAATATAACCACTATTTTCTAGGGATGGACGGGATTGAATTTTTAGTTTGGGACGGGACGGGATTTTTATTTCCTTCCTGATTTTCGGGACGGGACGGGATTTTTTTCTGTGCATAAAAAGAAAGTCTTTAGTATTGCAGTTACCAAAAAAGGCATACAAAATCAATTTTTACTGTTTGTGGCACTGATCTATAAAAACAAAAAAATGGGTAACAATTTAGAGGTACCATTAGAAACTTGTGACTCGCGGTCGAAATGACTCGCGGTCACGGTGCGATCGTCAAAATGACGGAGGTCACGAGGTAATCGTCTGTATGACTCACGGTCACGGCATGATCGTCGGTATAGCTCACGGTCACGGCACGATCGTCGGTATGACTCCGCGATCACATCGTGATTGTCGGTATGACTCGGCGGTCACGGGGTGATCGTCAGTATGACTCCGCGGTCACGGGGTGATCGTCGGTATGACTTGCGGTCACAGCGCGATCCCGGTAGGCCTATACCTCCGCGGTCATGGCGTGATTGTCGGTATGACTCCGCAGTCATGGCGTGATTGTCAGTATGACTCCTCGGTCACGGCATGATCGTCGGTATGACTCCGCGATCACGGCGCGATCGTCGTTATGACTCCGCAGTCACAGGGTGATCGTCGGTATGACTCGCGGTCACGGGGTGATCGTCGGTATGACTCGCGGTGACGGCACTATCGTCGGTATGACTCCGCGGTCACGGCGCTATCGTCTGTATGACTCCGCGGTCACGGGGTGATCGTCTGTATGACTCCGCGGTCACGGGGTGATCGTCGGTATGACTCGCGGTCACGGCGCTATCGTCTTTATGACTCCGCGGTCACGGCGTGATCGTCGGTCCATGAATCGCGGTCACGGCGCGATCGTCGTTATGACTCGCGGTCACGGTGCGATCATCCAAATGACTTTGTCTTCTGCGTTCGCGGACATATTGCTCGCAATAGCGGCGTAATCGACACTTGCGACGCGGCAAAATCGCCGCCGATCGGACCAAATCCCGTCCCGAAAAATTCCCGAGTCAAATGAAATTCCTTCCCAAGAATCGGGAATATTTTTTTCCCGAAAAATTTCCGAAATTTTGGGACCCGTCTATCCCTACTTTTTGCTAATGGGTAATAAATACAAATTAGGAATATTTTTTTTACCTTCTTTCTCCATACATCAATTAGTCCCACAGGGGAGAAAATATTGTGTCTTATGTGTATTCTATGGCCTACCGTACTTCTTCTATGGTAAGCTAGCTGCTATTTCCTTCATTCTACAATTAAAATCCTGGTCTAGAGCCATTCCTTGAACAATATTAAGTATTTGGGTACAGTATAAAAACACAGACTTACCTACAGTACAGGTAGTTGTATAAGACTACACTACTACACTCAGGGTTGCCTCTCGTCCCCATTATGTCGGGACAGTCCCAACCTGGGTCCCTTTTGCCTTTGTTTATGTCCATGTTAATCCTGGGGAGAGGGTAGACACGATTTTTCCCCAACAAAAGGTAGGACTACACTTCATAACTCACATGACACTTGCAGGTTCATGTCATGTGGTAGAGAACAGCTGTGGACAATGTCCAGACTAGAGGAAGTGCTGCTGTCTGCCGCTGAGAAGCTACCTCCAGATCAAGCGTGCAAATGTTACTCCCACCTCTACAAGCTTTTGAATCTGGTTGATTCTCCGCAGGCACCAGTAGAACTGAAACTTAATGAAGTAAGTTTTTGATTATTTTACCCGGTAATAATTAAGGCTGCACTCAGAAGAACAGTTGTATAATTAATAATAACTTTTGTGTCATTGAGCATGTACATTTAACAACAAACTCACATGTTTAAATAACATACATTTGGGGTAATATGAAACATAAACAGATAAGGGGAAAATTAAAATAATCATATGTTGGCTGACTTAATGTATCTTAACCACAAGCTCTTGTTTAGATATCTTCAGGTTTATGATCTCTTGGATTTTAAAATTAATGTAATGTTCAATTGAAACACTAAGCATAGTGTCCCCAGTCTCATTTTTTTCAATTTAATCCTTTCAATGGACATTCTTGGTCAATTTTTTGTTTAAAACTAAAAACCCTTAATAGCATGGTTTTATTAGTGTTTTTTTTCAGCATGTATTTATTCACAGTCATGTGCTTTAATTGTTTACAAATGAAATCAAGTTTTAGTTTGGTTTTGGTTTGATAATAAGACTAGCTAATTTATTGTGTTAAAGTTGTTGAAAGGCATTTGGAAGAAAAATCTCTTGGTTTAGGAATACAAGGTAAATTGAGGAAGAAGGAATTGGATACCCAACTAACTAGTAAATTAGTCTTAAGTATAAGATGATCAGAAATCAGTGATCAGAAAATGATGTGTTGGTAGGACTGATTTACTTAGTTCAAATTAAATTAGTGACAGTTTTGTTTTGTAACTGACATTCTACTTCTTTCTTCTGAAGAAGCCCTTTGTATGGGCGAAATATCAAGTAAGTTTATTGTGTGATGAACTTTCTTTGTGGTTTCAACTAGGCCTACCTAGAACTCTTTTCTGAGGTAAGTTAGTTGGAGGATCCATTCTGTCTTCCTTAACTGATAGTGTTACGGAAAATCTTGATTTTGATTTTGTCCGTAACACCAACTGTGGTGAAGGTAATCTTGTGATATAGTTTTTAGCTATTCTGGTTGTCAGTATTTCTTTGGATTACGGGAAATGTGTGATGGGGCCCAGAGAATTGGACCTTTTACCCAGACCAGGAAGACAGCCCAAGCCAGCTTTGATTACACTTATTTAACTAACACCCTACCCTAATTTTTATTGACACCTTCCAAACTAATATATAAATATATATAAGAAAAACCTGATTGAAGCAAGAATTGGTTGAATTGTAGCTGGTAGATGAACTAAGCAATCCCTTTTACCGGCAACTTAATCTCTTGGAACATGTGACTTTGAAACATTAAAAAGATTGTTTGATTCCGTTAGGCGGAATCAAACTTGATAGTTATCTACTACATTTTCCAGCGTACCTGCGAAGCCAGTGGCTTCCCCCCCTGAAATTTACTTCTAGCCTAACATATTTTTATATTTTACTTAAAACTAATAAGTTAACTTAGCTTGATGATTATTCATTCTGTACGAAGTTTGAAGACTCGAAGTTTGTCCAATCACGGCAGCGGGCAGACAGGGGCGAGAGAACAGGCGAGCCGGCTGAGTTTAGAAAAAGATTGGTCCAAGAAAAAAACCCGGTTGAACGGCATGCTAGCGCATAACGCCATGAAGCTGTGGCGCTTGCGTCACACAACTGAAGAAAACCCTAGACAAAAAAATAGTCATGGGTTTTGAGTTTTGACTATTTAATTTTACCGCAAAACTTCGACAGGGGTTATAACAACCAATCAGTCCTTTAAGACTTGTTTGACAGTTTTGCTAATTCACTAATGAGGAGGACACTCCCCACACTTGTAGACATCTCATTGCTCAGAAGACAATATTTATTATCATTGTAAATGTATATCAAATGTTAGATATTGTTATATTATCCTGTTTAGAATTATGCCCAAAGTATGTTTATTCACAAAAGCCTTGTTTCAGACTTAAAGGATACCTTAGCTAAAATTGCTAAAATAGGTACCTAGTTTTATATGAACGTGTTGATCAGGTACGAAAGAACTTCAAATTCAACCCAAACAATTATCAAACACATTTTATAAGTGAGACATCAAATAAACCGCAATGTTTTTTCTAGGGGTTTGTAGAGTTTCTGCACGTTCTACAGACAACGGTGGAGGGTAGTCTGTTGAAGCAAGCAGCCCGAGCATCACGCACGCCCGCGTGGACACTGATGGAGCCACAACTGAGGCACAAGATACAGGATGCTGCTTGTCTCGTCATTGTGCCTGGAGATGACAGACGACGGGCTCGGCATCTCAATAAGGTACATAGATAATTAAGTAGGCATCCCATATGGACCAGCTTTAGCAAATTTCCTATTCAATTACAACATAGTTTAGCCAGTGTAAACAATAATTCTCCATTATCAGGAATTTACACCAGCCTAACACACACTGTCAGTGGTTTAATCCTCTAAATTGGTCACAACTTTAACATGGGAATGGTTTTTACACTGTACTGCAAACAATTGTCAAAGGTATGAAAGTGAATCTGTACCCCCAGCAAGGTATTTCCTACAGCAACACCTGTTTATATAAATATGTAGGCTAATTAGTTTGTTAGAAAGATTTTTGAACATTTTGAAGGTTGAAACATTTTTTAAAGATGATCCCTGAGGGACACTAACGTCTATGTTTTTTCCCAGAGATAACTCATTTTTGAAACTCATATGTTTTGTAGATGTGTTGGGAATCAAACTCGTCCCTCCTACACCGAAGTCCGAGATGCTAACAACTATGCTAGTAACACAATCACCATGATTTTTGTATACAATTTTGATTTGTAATGTTAGTTTTCTCATAAAAACCATAAAAAAACAGCCCAAATTAACAAAACTTTCTTAATGTATAGTTTGGTTTTATTCAAGGAAAAGCTCTAGGCCAGCATTTTGAAATGTAGAAAAGCAGTAGGATAGCAGCGCTTGCCTTGAAGAAGTGTTGTTAGGCCACATAGAACATACAGAACATACACCGTGCACACAATATTTCGTCACCAGAGGGAGTGTAGAGCTCTACACTAATAATATTGTTTGCACTATATTTGTTTGCACAATATTACACTAATATTGTTTGAAATATTGTTTGCACAGTGTATGTTCTATGTGGCCTACCTACACTTCTTCAAGGTAAGCTTGGAGGTATAGTTTGTTTACATATTGCTTAGAACTAGATTCTTCAAATGTTTATTTTCTATTCCAGAGAGCCGAGAGTTCCAGTAACAGCAAGCAGTCAGCTGATCTATTAAAGCCAGCGGCCGTTGGTGAAACAGCAACCAAGAAGAATCCCCAGTCATCACGGTCTGTACCCAGTGTAAAGCCGAAGACACCACAGCCAGCTGTGAAATCAGAGAGCACTGGGCCTCGCCCGAAAACATGGCCTTATAAAATATCTGAGGTTTGTAAATTTTTGTGTTGTGGTATGTGACAGAATTGTGTTATTGTAGTTAATAAAATAAAAATTATTGTAAAATAAATATCTAAAATCTAGTAAATTAATAGTAGTTTAAAATAAATAGTAAATCTGTTAGTTCAATCATGTTCAACGATGTGTGAGTCAACCATCAAACTTAAGACTTAAAATGTTGAAGTTGGAGTCGCATTTTCCCTTATTTTGCCAACTGCTAACTGTAATTCCTTAAAAGAAAAAAAAAACAATCCATCAATCAACCTCTAACAGTGGCAGTGTTGCAGGACCAAAACTACTGTACAGATTTGTTTTCTAGGATGCTAGGCACAAACCTGGAATTGTTTTTCACATTACTTCAGGCTAGACCTAGGGGTTGCAGCATTATCACTTAAATAAAATCCGTTGGTGATATGGCGGGATTTGAACCTTGGACATCACATACCAAAGTCCCGCGCTCTACCAATGTATAGATTACCAACCTTCCAGTTTGGGATTGTTTTGACAATGATCATGTGACTAAATGGGGTGTTAAAATTATGATGTAACTAATGCCCTCACTTTCTTGGGTTTGAAAGGTTTTTCTAGCTAGAATTTTAAATATTTAATCACCTTTAAGTAATTGGTGCAATAGATGAATATTCATTTGAAATATATATTTAAGTAATTAAACAAGCACAATTTTTGCTATAGAGTGATTGATTTTATGTTTTTGTATTTTAAGCTTTTTGCAAAGATACATTTTATACCAGGTCTGTTTGCATTCTCAGTGTAGTTGTATAAAACATAAATACTTTTGTTTGAATATAGAATAAAATTGTTGTAAAGTAGAACAATATACTCAGCAATAAGCAGATTTAAAATACACTTCTCCACTTGCAGGTAAAATCCAGATACCTCGAACCAAAGCAAACGCCGAAACAATCGCCAGCATTAGCGGCTAACAAGACAGACAAGCCGACGCTGACTCCAACTGCAAGGAGAAACGTAAGTAAGTCTATCATCTCATCTTCGGACTCCTCGAGAACATCTTCACCAGCCATGAGACGCTCCTTGCCTCAGCGGCCGTCTCGCAATGTGACCAAGAAGGACGACAATCTCACAATGTCCACCGACTCCCTGGCAGATCCTAACTCTGCATCTAGTGCCGGCTCCAAGAAGAAAGCCGACCCAGCTGTCAAAACACAAGCTATCTCACGAATAGACTTTATCGAGAAAAACGTTCGCTCTCTCTCGCTTAAGTCTTCAAAGGTGGGGACTTCTGCAAATCGTGTTGCTTCGAGCGATTCTAAAGGAAGGTTCCCACAAGTAAAGATCGAAAATGACAAACCAAAGTACTCTCCTGTCGCTGTGAGTAAGAAAGGCAGTAGTCAAAGTTCCCCTCATGTGAAGGACTCGCCAGTCTCGCTGAATAAAGGAACGGTGAATTCAACACCGTCGCCATCGGTTCGGCGAAGCGTTCTGTCTCTCAAAGAGAAGTCTAGTGTGACCGCAGAAACAAAGTCTACTATGTTGAAAAGAAACGCGACGTATCGAGTGCAAGCAAAGTCGTCGAGTCCTGTGAAGGGAGCAAATACGAAGCAAAAGGAAATCTTGTCTGTAGTAGCTGCTTCACCAAATACAAAAGGGAATATTAATAAATTACAAACAAAAGTAAACAGCTCGAAGAAGTCCGGGATGAACAATAACAATGCAGGTTACAACAAGACTGAAGCTCCGCCTCGGCCCATGGTAGGGTCCAGGTCGGGAACTTTTCTGAAGGATGAACCGACTGTTCTTAAAAAGCCGCAGGTAGCAAATGTGTCAGAATGAATGTGGTTAGTATTAAAATTATCTTTATCAAGTTTATCGCTAGTCAGTGTGCCATTGGAGGCTTGAATTATTTTCATTAGCTGTAGAATACTTTAAAATATTTGTAGTGCAGTATAACGCTGTGTAGGTATCCACAATTCATCACTTTGGTCCAGTATTATTATCTTCGTTTGGAAAAAAATGATCGTGTTTCAGGTTTCAGTAAATCTTAAAATCGTGAAACTTCATTTAGTTTTCATTTATCGTAAACACTTTAGGCAATATTGAAGCAACAGCCATACACTACAAAGTTACCAAAGATTTTTGTGTTTAATGTTTTTGTTATTTGTTTCACGTTACTAGAATATAATTTAAAATTGTTGTTTTTGTATTATTTATTATATTTTGTACATTATTGATGATAAGTAAGATGAGTATTGTGAGATGTAAGATCATTATGTGTTTTGTTTCTAGGCGTTAAACCATAAATGGGTAAATAAAGGTGGAATGTGAATATTATGTATATTAAGAAAGATGTATTAATGCTTTGAAACTTTAAAAAATAAATTGCCTGAACTGTTCTTGCCTGTTGCGATTGGTTGTAACTTATTTTGGCAGGTAAAGGTTCAAATTAGATGAATTCAGTAATTATGTCTTGTGCAATATTTACTTTTCCAAGAATTAATTTTTCCGCCCAATGAAAATGGTTGTATTTTTAAAATCAAACAGTTATGCTCCTTCAACATTTTAAACTAATTACATTTTACTCTGTTTGTTTACATACATTTCAAATAGAAACAAACTTTTACTGTTTTCTTATACTTGCATAAATGTTTACAAAATCACAAGTTGTAGCTATCCATGGTGACAATGAGACTTTTACTATTTTTATTAAGATGCACTATATTCAAAACAGCTTCGGGGAAACCATAACCGTTTGTTTCTTTCGGTTTTACAAACTAATCGCAGCTTCACGTTTTGTCACCCTGATTAATATTTTTTAATGTGTTTTTGCTCAAGTATAAAATTAATTTTACATTTCCTTTTGTCTTCATTTTGACTGGTACGGATTGATTTTTCAAATTACTAATACTCTAAATTACTTAAAGTCTCAATTGAACAGAAATACCTAAAGTTGAAATGTAAAAATCGTCACTGAATTTTAGTAGAATTTCAAAACACAAACTTACTAGTAATTGTTTTTTTAAATCCATTTGGTAGACGGAAGTTTTTTTTTAGGAATGGAGTTAAGCTTGCTTTTAACTGAAAAAATATAACGTCCAGCGGTTTATTGAAGTGCAAAAAAGGACACATAACATACTGATATTTTTTCCTACCTTCTAGTGTCAGACTCATAAAATAGTATATTTTATATATTTAATCAATCATCTTATTAAACACATCAACAACAATTAACAACAATACACTCTCAGACTTGGACACAATGTTATGTCCTATGATCAGTAAATCATTCTGTTTAAGATTCAGACAGGAGTATAAAAGGCATTAAGTATGAAAATAATAGTACTCAGTAATCATTGGCTCTGTTGAGCGCATTTGCAAAAATGTCCAGTTTTTAAGAGAGAGAAAAAAACAACTTAACAACAAAATACACAACTGTATTTTAAAGGATACAGCAACTTGTGTTAAACTACCAAGCCAAAGAAATTGTTCTTTCAAGTTTTGTCATTGTTAGAATGAAAAAAATAGGTTGATATAATATTTTTTACTAATTTTGCGATCAAATAAATATGTGTATAAATATGAACAAATTATGGTAATTTTCTAAATTTGAAATTTCTCCTCAGGCCTATATGTCTTTATCAGTGCTTGTAAGTAACTTGTTAGCTCAGAATTCTAGTTCCTATTTTATCATCAAAATTGTGAAAGTGTTGAAAAATAACACGATGAATAAGTTATTAATTGCTATTAGGCTAAACAAAACGTTTTCCGAATTTTCTTATAGTTCTTGCCTACATGCAACAGTAGCATAGAAGTTTAAGGGGATTTTTTTTATTTGAGCTGATCCAACCATTGACGATATGGATGAAATGGTTTTACAGAAATTTGTTTTTTTTTATCAATTTCAATTTTTTTAAATCTTGTCTGTTCAACTTCACTAGTGCTTTAATATGAACAATATAGTGAGGCTTTTAGTTGAATAGTTTTGTGTAAAAAAGTGTTGTGATTTCGTATATATATAATATTTTTTCTAATCTGATCATTTATCAATTCACACACCCAATCCCTTATTATATTATACAATTTAAAACCCACTCGTTAGGCCCCGTCCTAGCTGAAAGGCAAGAGTGACGTGACCGACAGATACAAACACATGGTAAGTAATGGGAGTGTCCTAGCTATGCAGCAAGAGCGGCTTACATGTGCTACAAGCGCTTCAAGATACAAACATGTTTATATTTGGTAGCGTTACACCGGGGACGCAACAAAGCGTCATCTACCACAGCTGCCTCAGCCTGTGCCGTGTCGCCTTGTTGCAGTTGTCGCGCCCCTCAGTGTGGACACACATTCTGTCGCCGACAGCAGCGATTGTTGGTCACGTCGCTTTTGCCATCCAGCTAGGACGGGGCCTTATACTACGAATTGAGCTGCTTTACCAAAAAGTCTTGACTATTACTTTTTATTATTTTATTGTGATATTATTTTTGTGATTAATTTGTGCATTTTCTATAGCTATAATAATACAGATAGTAGGTTTTCACTGTGTTTAAAGTATTTTACTAGTCACCTATCCTTTATCATAACATTCCTCTATCTTTATTACTTGGACTGATATGTACTTAATGTATTTTATGTTGCGTTTATATTAAGCTACATTTTTATATTTGTTAAATAATTTCTGAATGTCTTTAAATTTTGTACAGGATTTGTAAATAATCTTGCTTTATAAATAAAAGAGTTATCGTTCATTGCTTCACTACTTAATTCTTCACCTACACACCAATTAGAGTAGCTGTGATGGTAATTAGCCAATATTCTAGATATCAAAAAATAAAAATAAAATATTCTATGTCCTTAAACTTAGCAAAAACCAAAAACAATCAAAACAATTAATAATTAATGTCACTAGTCTTAGATATGTTAGATGTCTACAAAAATATTTGTCGAGGTTAAACCTTTATTTAATAGTAAAATTGTATATCTAGATCTAATTCCTGGTTGTACTGTTTTAAATTTTAAACATCTTATACCTACAGTACTTAAATATGCTTTTTTAAGTACTAATGACATAGAGGCAGCCTTTTCATCATTTTATCATATACATTATTTATAACATTTTGAGACAAACTTATGTTAGTAAAAAACATAATTTAGCTGCCAATGCTTATTGTATTGTGATTATTGTCATCACTCTAATCTAAAGTTTTGTGTTAACTTAGAAGATGAGCATAATATTACTTTGGCAAAAGAAACCATTTCTGCTGTGAAAAGAGATATGAGATGTCTTTATAAAGCAACTGATTTACTCCAAATGTGTTTGTGCTAATTTTTTACAGTTCTGGAACTATGGCTAATATTAATTAAAATACAATTCTTAAAGGAAAGTAGGTATATCACTTGAGAGTGGAGTGACTCCAGGAAATAAAAGCCTCCGACAACGGAGAGTACTTTAGCATTGAGAGATCTTGTTACGGTAGGATTATCTTACAAAGGTAGTCGCATTCACTTTTTCCTCAAAATACTGTGCGAAATTAACATGTCATCATCCTGCAACAGCCTTCATCGGCTGCTAGCTCATGTCGCGATGTAGTATGATCAGACCTTTTTATCTTCTCTAAGGCGGGTGCTATAAGCAGGAAAATACTGATAAGATCAGTGTTTTCTTTTACAGCCCTTTTCAAGAGCAGACTCCTTCTACAGACCTCTTACCCTTGCCGGGAGACTTGTATGACGGGATCAGTATAAGTGAGAACTTTGTCAAGCTTGATAGTTTTCAATTTGTTTCACACTGTCAAACTTCTGCCTCAAGTGTGATTCACACACATTTTTGAGTCTGTAGCAGACATCAGGTAGAGTGATGCGCAGTATACAAGACAATGCTTTCGTTTGAATTTACCTGAATGTCAATAGCCACAGACCACTTTTGAAATGTCCTGCAGGTTATCATTGATTTGGATATGAGCTTTTGTCATAAACTACTGGCTTATTATGTCATGTTCCCATGGGCCGCACCTGTATTGGGGATAGATTTACTACCCGTCGTAAGGCTTGAAGTGTTCACTGAGCCACGCCTCAAAGTCTATCTTTTGGATTTAGTTTACTTCAGAAAGTCAACGATGGTTAAGTGTTTTATTGTTGACAGTTGTGTGGTTGTAAATTCTGTTTTTAATAGCATTTTAGTTGATTTATTGACAGGGAACTAAGATGCAGTCACCCAGAGGATTTTGTAAATATGCTAAGCACGTATGATGATCAGTTTTTTCCTAATTACTTTTTGGAAGATAGTTCACAAAAAGACAGCTTGGAATGCAAAAAATTCAAGCTTTTCACAACTGAATAATATTAAACCTGTTTAATCCGAAGCGTGGCTGTTTGTGGAACTCTTCCTACGGAGGGTGAGGTCAGAGGAAACTCACTACGTGTCGTTACCACGGAGCGTATTCCATAAATGTGTGGTATATGCAGACGTCCCACACGCCTCATGGGGGTTTTGATTGGATTAGGATTGTTTGTTTGATTTATGATTGATGACACACCTGCAGAAAGATTAATTGAAGGCTACAGATGATTGACAACAGTAGCTATAGAGGTCAACTAAGTGAGCCGTACACTGTGCAGTGCTTTACAGAGGAGGAAAGTCAGCTGTGTAGTGTGTAGTGTACATAGAGTGTTGCCTCAGACAACCACCCTGAAGAACACCTCACCACTCGCCAGGCAATAGTATATTTCGCAGTGTTGGGTAGTAGCAAACTACAAGTAGCAACGCTACTGTAGTTTGCTACATTTTTTGTAGCAGTAAATGTAGCATTGCTACTTTTGTAAAACTGTAGCAAAGGCAGTAGCATGCTATATTTGTAGTAGCAGTAAATGTAGCATTCACTACTTTTTTATGCTACTTTTTACAACAACGATATGTTTTTCTTTATCAGTAGGCCTACTTAGTAAATCACAGTATATGCTTTATTAATTCATGATTTCAAGTCCATTCAAGTTTTCTTAATGTTATATTTTCAACATGTGTTTTTAACAACCAGCTCATGTCTCTTGATGGACTACTGAATATGTTTGTCTGTAAAGTTTGGTTTAATATATTTTATTTTTAAACTATGCATAATTTAAGTGAGACATTTGCCAATTTATTTACGGTAATAATATTAAGTTACCAGTACGGTAGAGGAGTTGTTTTTTTTATAGGAGGTTTAGGATCACGGCTAAGGGGTCATCCACATATTATTATGTAACACGTTTTTGTCATTTTTTTTAAACCCCTCCCTCCCTTCCTGAGGCTGCACAATGCAAGCCTAAATCCCTCCTCCCACCTCTGTAAGACATTTTCTTAAACCATGTTGTGGGGTATGAAATCTTAAATCTATGAAATTTTCTCTTATACAGCAGGTAGTAATTTTTTTTTATTGTTTTAATGTTATCAATTAAAAAAAAATTATAACAAACTTAACACTTTATATGAACACAATATCTAAACAGATGATTTTTTGTGAAATTTGGTACTAATTCATTAAATCTCCAAGCATGTTTTTTTTAATATTTTTTAAAACTTATTTTTAATGGTGATTTTCCCATAAAATAACGGGAAAATCAGATTTTCTAAAAAACAGCCAGAACGATTTTGATAAAAATTTAGTATGTTATAGTCTTTTAAATTCTAAACAAAATGGCACAAATACCATTTCTGTAAAAATTACGGTTCCAAAGTTATTGTAACTTATTTATTTTCCCATAAAACCCCCATAAAAAAAATTGATTTTATAAAAAAAGGCCGGTTTGATTAAAATTAGTACTTATATTATGGTCCTTAAAATATTGAACCAAATGGTACAGATCCCATTTCCGTAAAAAGTACGGATCAAAAGTTATGTCTTATTTTTTATTACCGTATGTTATTTCTCATAAAACCCCCAAAAAATAAAGAATATGATATTTTAGGAAAAAGCCGGGTTTGATTGAAATTAATGTGTTATGGTCCTTATAATTCCAAATAAAAATATAGTTCAACCCCCCCATTGTAGGCGTTTGCTGATACCGTTTATTTTAATGATTCATTTTTAAAAATGAAATGTAGCAAAAAAGTAGTTTGCTACAATTTGATTGTAGTTGTAGCTGTAGCAAGCTACATTTTGTAAAAATGTAGAAGTAGCAAAAGCAAGCTACATTTAGAGAATTGTAGTTGTAGCAGTAGCAAGCTACATTTAAAAAGTAGTTTACCCAACACTGATATTTCGCTACTAGTCGACTTGCATGTAAAAAGCTATTGAGCCCCAAAATGGGACTTTCGTGACGAGTATTGAACGATACTTTTTATCACGATGAAAAAACTTACCTTGCAAATGTTATTAAAACTTATTAATGCAGAGATTATCCTAACTGCATTTTTGCAATCAACAAATAGTGAGTATTTGATGATTTTGTTGTACAGAAGGGTGCTGATGGTGCTGTACCTATCATTTTTCTTATAGTTAATCATTCTATTGATTTTGTTCAGGGTAGGAGCATTTTGATTGAGGACAGTGGCTTCAAGCACTATTAAAAAATCCAATTGTTCTGTTGTGGGAACTGACATAAGTTGCATTAACTTTTGAACAGTAATTTTTACTGCAATCAGAGGTTCCATAATCCATAGTTTTGTTTATTTTATTTTTTTATTTTATTTTTATTTCCCAACGGCATAGCCACTTTACAATGAAAAACATTCACAACTTGAAATTACAGGGAACAAAATAGTAAAAGTTGTACAAATAGTGAACAATAACAATGTGGTAACAATATCAATAGTAACAAATAAAAATATTAACAATACAAATATTTACAATTTATAAATAGAAAGTTGGATGGCAACAAGTTTAGAGTTGAATAAGCACTATGGCATATTAAATTTTAATCAAAATCGTTCATGCCATTTTTGTGAAAATTACGTTTTTCTGTTTTTTATAGGAGAATCACACAATTAAAAATAAAAATATTTTGAAAAAAATTAAAAACGCCTTGAGATAACATTATGTTAATAGGCAGAATTGACGTTGGATACTGTAAATAGATGTCCCATTGACAAGAACCAGATGAACCATTGACTTTAGATACTGCAGGTAGACATCCCATTATGACTTTGATACCGTACTGCAAGTAGACATCCTGCTTTTATGAGCCCGAGCCCATTGGGGAAAATCAATCAGGTACATTTCCCAAAATTATTGGAGAAATAAGCTTGCTCCGCTCAAATTACAAGCAGACAACCGCATTGTACATCTTGCAGTGTACGATTTTTCTTAAGGAAAGTGGGAGAGGACAATTAATAGTTATAACAGATTCAGAATAATTTATTTGTCATTTTATTTCATTTTATTTTACATTCCAACGGACAGATCCATTTTGATATTTAGTGCAATACAAACAAGACTTACTTAAAGCTAGTTATACAATAATATTGAGTGAAAAACAAAGAATCAGAATCAATTGATGATAACAACAAAAAAGAGAAACGGCAACAATTAAGATGACAAAAAGACAGCGTTGCAACGAAACAAGTGAAAAGAAACAAAACAGTTACAACAAACAAATCAATAAAAGCGTTACAAATGAATAACAATAATACATTCGATTTGAGTAGATAACATTAATAGTTAACAAAAAAATAAGTTTAAATTCATTAACAAGAAATTAAAATTAAATTAACAAAGAAAAACGGTGTAGAGTTAACAAAGAAATAGAAGATTTGTCATTGGTTGATTTAAGA